CGCACTTTAACAACACATGATTATACACTTCATAAGTACAACATTCACAATAATAACGTTTTACTTGCAGACAACATCTGAGGTTACGTTCAAGTTTTTGGAGCGTTGGGTAGTAGAGGGAGAGTTGCCATCAGATTACCATTTCAAGGCGACGGTGATTTCTACCAAGAACACATTCATAAAGAACGATGGAAAACTTTCGCCGGGAAAGATGCTTCTCTTTGATGCGGCGCGTTCTGTCGGCGAGATGATCTTGTGGCCTGAGACCACAGGATCTAGCCGATGCGATGTGCGAGCATTGAACGACTTCTTGATGGGGATTTCCATTGGGGAAGTCTATCAAGTTCGTCGCGTTAATGTTTCGCGCGCACATCCTAACTGGTAAGTTTTGAAGCATTCGAGCATATGTATGTTACTCATAAATACTTATATATATATACAATCTGTACAGGGGCCTTATTGGAGGCCTTGAGATGCAGTTGGCCTGGCTACACTGTTAAATGGTAGGAAGAAGAGGGGTTGCACTAGCAAGAATGAGGATACAAATAGCAAACCCTAGAAGGGTTGTACTCGCTATAGAGCACCCCACTACAGGCTAGAGCATAATATTCTGACACACCCCCATAGCCAAAGTGGGGTGTAATCAGCAGAGCAAGTAAAGCAGTACAAGCTCAGGGTGGATCACAATGTCACCACACATTCTGAGCACAAGTTCAAGAAGCAATAGTTTAAAGTTCACAATTATGAGCAAAGCTAGTGGTAGTCACAGAGGGCAAGTGAGGAGGAGGAGAGACTGTGGGGGAGAGAAGATGGGAGGCGACTGCTGACGCTGCAGACACACAGACGAGCTGCTGGCTCAGTGGCTACCGAAGCAAAGGCCCGGACTACAGGAGTAACTGGCTCCGCGGCTAAAAGTAGCGGCAGACGAGCAACTGACCCACAGGCGACTGGCGACTACCGGAGATTGTAGCCTCCGGACTGCTGGTGCTGCTGACGACAAGACTGCTGCCTCCACTTAACCTCCCCCAGCTGCCCAACACCCCTCTCACACACCCGCTGCTACACCGCTAGCTCCACTCCCCCTTCACCCCCCCTTAGTACCACTCCAACGGCTCCAACAAGTCCACCCCCCCTCAGCGGCAGCTGCAGCACAGGGAGACGGAGGAGGAGGAGGAGCAGGGAACGGCACACAGTGGCTTCACCCCCATACCCCTCACCCCCAAACCCTAATTCAGGAGAACGGGCTGTAGGAGGGGTGGGGCGCCAGTAGAAGCACGGGGGACAGCGGGGAGGGCAGGGGCAGCGAGGAAAGGGCCGCCCACGGGCCTGGCACAGCCGCCCGAACCGCGCGCAGGCGGCCCGAGCCGCGCGCGGGCCTGGCGCAGCCCGTACGGGCTGCGCGCGGGCCTGGCGCAGCCCGTACGGGCCGCGCGCTGGCCTGGCGCAGCCCGTACGGGCCGCGTCCGGGCCTGGCGCAGCCCTTACGGGCCGCGCGCAGCCTGTACGGGCCGCGCGCAGCCTGTACGGGCCGCGCGCAGGCCACGACGGGCGACGGGGGGCGACGCGCGGGTCCCCGTCGCCCGTCGCAGCGCCTCCCGAGGGCGACGCGCCGAGTGACGGGGCAGAAGCCCGCCGCGCGCCTCGGGGCGCACAGCGGGCAGAGAACCGCTGCGCGCCACGGGGCGCACGGCGGGCAGAAAACCGCCGCGCGCCTCGGGGCGCACGGCGGGAAGAAAAACTGCCGCACGCCACGGGGCGTGCGGCACAGAGGGTAGCAGTGGAAGTTGCAGCGGAAGCAACGAGGTGGTAAGACCACCCACAGGATCGATCCAAGGGGATCGACCTGCTCTGATAGCATGTTAAATGGTAGGAAGAAGAGGGGTTGCACTAGCAAGAATGAGGATACAAATAGCAAACCCTAGAAGGGTTGTACTCGCTATAGAGCACCCCACTACAGGCTAGAGCATAATATTCTGACATACACCGCTGTTCATTCATGGTGGAGGATAAGGGGAGCATGGAGCTGACAGTGGGAGACGTGCCCACTCCGACGCTCATAAGCTTCTTTGGGCCGAAGGACGACTCCAGGGTAAGAGCAGATTCATTATCCAGAACGAGTTAGTTGTGTTCATGTTTGTATCATAGTGCCGACTTGTCTCTCATGTTTTCAACTCAACATCTTTTGATGCATATTGTTTAGCACAACTTCTATTTGGTTTTGTTTCGTCAATTGTGATCAATGTTCCCTACATTGATAATGCTTTGCTATAACAATACTAGAGTTTTTAAGACTTGTGTTTCCTATTCAGGATGTTATTTTCCACCCTTCTGTATTACCAGATCCCTTGTCTCTTCGTCAGGATGAAAGTCTCGTCATTTGAGACGCCGGGTGGATTACCTAAGTTCACAGCTGTCATCCACGATTCGTCACTTCGGAGCGTCTTGGTTTGTCTGGGGGACGCTGCCATACGGATCCATCAGTGCTGTAAGACATACTTGGACGCACACGACGATGCTACAGACGTGCCAGTTTAAATTAGCGAAGTCTATCTAAAGTCAGCATTGTTCAAGACAACAATGCTTTCGAGTGCTATCATTCTTGACGATCGACGAGCTTTGGAGATCACAGATGCTCCAGTCACAGAGGAGCCACAAGACGTCGGTCTCGTGTCTCTGTAAGTGAACATACAAGTACATTTTAACGTTTTATAGGTAACGTTATTCGTTAGTAATGTTTATGTTTTCTACATTCAGGATGAGTCATGTGGTCACTCTTGTGATGACAACAAAGGAAGAGAAGATAGCGTCCCTTGTAGCAGAACTCAAGGATCCTGTGCACAGCTCTGGCAGAGTGTGCAAGGGTGGTTCGGGGGATTCGATTTGCCCACTGCCTGTTTTTAGATCCTGCAACACGCTCGAGTATTCGTGCTCGGAGCATGGATCCTCGTCGATCGGCAAGATCGATAACACGACCGCCACACTTGTCGTACACGAGAGCGGTCAGTATCGTATGTTAAGATTTCAGGTTTAGATGTTGTACGGTTTGTCTTGGCATTGACATTTTTTTCCTTTATGTCTTTTTTTGTTTGTTTAGCGACATACAAGGCCCAAGCACATGGCTTGGTAATTCAACCAAGCATCCTGACCAAAGTGATCCCGCATCTTCAAATGTCCACTTTGCTCTCCTTGCCCTCGGATGAGCGTCAACGCATGTTGGACGTTCTTCTCGGTCGTTGGCTCGTAAAGGTATGTGGAGTTTTTTCATAACTCTAGATCGTTTTGATGATTCTATCGTTTTATTGTTGTTCATGTTACTTTTCTTCTCATGTTCACATTTCTTCACCGGTTCTTTCCCTATTCCTTCCTTCCGTTCTTCCCTCTTTCCTTCCTTTCGTTCCGTGCATCCCTCCTTTTTTGCATCCTTACTTCCCTCTTTATTCATTTCTCTCTTTATATCTTTACTCTTCCCGTCTTCACATTTTATTCCTTGACAGATTCACTTTGGTCTTGAGGGAGACCGCGTCATCAAGACCATTCTCGATGTTACGGGCGTCACGCAGGCAAGCGACACTCCCGTCAACTTTGATACGTCAAGCACCCAGCCATCTTCAACACCTACAAAGAGGAGGTGTGACGTACGTTGGGTGGTTATATTTTAAGAGTTTCATCAAATGTTGATATATATATTCATATTTGTTTTTGTTATATGCTTTGACGGTAATCATTTTATGTTTGAACCTTCAATCATTTGCAGTATCAGTGAAGCCCAAGACCGGTGAAGCTCGTCTATGATCAAGAGCTGTATTTTCTTGTTCCATGAGAAACACATTTCTAAGACATTATGGGTCGAAGATAGACTAGAAATTTGACTTTGCTTTTGTTTATGTTCTTTTTGGGGTTTTTTCCTTCCACTGCACCTTCTTTGGAGATTGTTCATCATCGTGTTTGTTTGATGATGTTGCTTGTGTGACTATGCATGCATATACATTGCATTAGCAATGCATGTCTGTGGGTTTTAAAAATATGAATCGGCTCTATCATTTTTACCCAAAGGTTCATTGGCGCGCCTGTCGGGAGCCCACTTGAACTGGAGATGATAGAGTTGACCATGTTTTTAGAGTTTACAGATTGTGTTGTTTCATGTGACTGCTGATTGTTCAAAGATTATGCTATCAGCTCCTCGACATGCTAGGCGGAGGATGCGGTAGCATAGTTTTTGGGTCGTTAGCTTTCACGCATTTTTATCATTATATATATGCATCATGGATTGTCAGTAACTAATCATTATTCATATCGAACTTAAGGCATCCACTTATCATTTATCATATCATATATTACACAATATATCGCATTTTATTTAATATCATTTTATTCATCTACATTCACCGATCATTCATGTTATATGGTAGTAAAGCACAAAAAGGTAAATCACAAAAACAACCTAGTTGTCCAAAAAATCACTACCACCACGCTAGTATAATTTAATTAGACAATACCTCCTACAGGTTACATAACTAGCAATTAATGCATCCAGATTTTTTATTTGTTTTTTACTTTCATAATTTATTTTAAATAAATAAATGTGAAAGTGTGAAAAAAAAAACTGCCCAAATCGATCGTAATAGGTTGCTTCGCAACCCAAAAAAAAAAAAGTCTCTTGAAGTGCTCATATGACTAGAGCAGCACAAAAGACTCAGCTGTGTTGGACTCGGGTTTTGTCTCAGACCGACCGCTTTTCCATCAAATCCTGGTCCTGATCGTGTCCAGTTCGTAAGACCAGCCTTTTCTGAAGAGCACTTATATTGTCAGGAAGCACACCCACGTCGTATATTTTGCCTAGTCTTGGACGTCAATCGGAACCATTCGTAGAAAATCACATCCGCTAGCTGAATATGTATCACCCTCGCCCTTCTCGCGCAGGGCCGCGTGCCGTCGCGCGGTACTTGGAAACCGTCAGCGACCCTCACGATCACGAGCGACGTCGCGCGAAGGTCACGGCGATGTCGAACGACCTCAACTGCATTCGCCAGCGGTTTCGCGAGGTGCAAGAGGACGACGCGTACCTGTCGCAGGAACTCGAGCGCATCCAGCGGCAGCGCGAGGAAGAGGCGCGCCACGAAGCGAAGCTGGATTTCCGCGGGCTTCGGCTCTACCGCGAGTTAACCGCCACGTCCGAACCCATGCACTGGCGCGAAAACCCCGAGAAAACGGAGGCTACGGCATCCAAGCCAACCGTTCCGGCTACTGGTAACCCTGGTAACCCTCCAGGTGGTAACATGTGGAGTTACTCCTCCGTCGCTCCCTCTTCCTCGGTTCCCAAGCTGCAGCATATGGTTCAGCCGTCCGCTTCCGGAGTTACATTCTACGGCGCGAATGGCGGCGGAAGGAGCGGGCGAATTGAGACGTACGAGAGTGCGGTGAATAGTGTGGGAAGCGAGGGGAAGAAAGCTGAGAGCAAGAAAGGCGGTGGTGGTTTCGCGAGCTGGCTGATGGGAGGAGCGGACCAGGAGCAGCATCTGCTGTGGGATAAGCCGGAATATAAGGAGGGTGAGGCGAAACTTATTCTATGAAGGACGTTCAGAGGTGGACGTAATTGCTTGTAGGAGGACCGTGGAACTAAGTGGTAGCCTCATAGAGCTGGTGAACTTCTCAGTCACCATGTGCATAATAATCTGTCGTCCAGTGAAATACAATATTTTATGTAGTATTTAGCTCAGGAATTTCGTCTTTAATATGGTGATTCCTAATGTTCAACTGTAGATTGAGACTAAACTACAAGGAGCGATAATAATTCGCAGTAAATAAGTTTTGACTACACATTGCCAGGTATATTTGCAAGGGAGCGAAACTTTTGGGTACAGTGTATCAGAAGCTATTGCTGAGGTATTTCTCGTGTACCTGCTGCACCCATAATCATATCAGGTGAAATAGTTCGTTACGGTCTTATTCTGTACTATCACATGTGAGAATTCCGAGCCACGTCCCTTCACATAGGAGCCCCTTCGACGTGGCAAGCGACTCGGTATGCGAGGCGCCCGCGATTACAGCAGGCGTCGTTGACGCACCGCGGATTCAATGTCGAGGGCAAACGCGCTTCCGCGTGCAAGAAACCAATCCCAACTTTGATCCATCCCCCTCGTCGCCTCCTCCCCTCCACTCACTGCCTGATTGCGCCCCTTTCTGCCCTCCCTCCTCTCCCCCCTACCCTCCCAACCTTGCTCCTGTTGGATTGTGTGAGCAGCAGGTTCCATCCATTCCATCCAACTTCTCTCCTCCATTCTCGAATCCTGGTCGAATGATTCCATTCCCAACCATCGACGTGCTTCACTTCCCCCCCATTCCTGCCCCTGATAGTGCATCCCATCGATTTCGTCACCTTGCTATCCCACTTCATTTCTGGTGACTGACGAGTCTATGGCGTCCCAGCTTCAACTTTGTGCGATAGTATGAATGTGTAGAAGTTGCTCCCACTTCGCCATCGTGTAGACTCCGAGTACTTGTCTCGAACAAAAATTAGAGCTACAACATAGTAAGGGTATGTATTCCCATGCGCCTTACGGCGAGCGGCGACGGGGCCGCCCGTCGCCCGCGGAGTTTTATCTCGAAGACCGCAGCGAGCGCGAGCGACGTCGCACGGAGATCGGCGGCTTCAGCAAGGACCTGGACGACATGCGACAGCGACTGCGTGCGATGAGAGTGGAGGAGACGCAGGAGATTCAACAGCTGCGGAAGAAGCAGGAGCAAGAGGCCTTCGAAGCGGAGCAGGCGCAGAAATTGCGCGAGCAGCAGATTCTCCTCCTGCAGAAGCAGCGCCAGCTATCTTACGCCACGTGGCGCGGCGAAGGCTCGCGTCCGTACGAGTCGCCTTTCGACAAGGAGTCGGAGCTGCTACCATCCGCTTATCACGCTGTGGTCGGCAAGCCGCACTTACCTGTCGCGAACGCACCAGTAAGAATCGACCACGTGGAACTTCCTCCGCCGGTTTGGTCCGCGTCGCGTTCGTCCGCGAGCCTCTTCAACTACGCGAGCCGCGGCACTGGCTCTATTAGTCGGGCCACTGGGTCCGGGGCGCGCGGCTTGGGCGCCGCAATGCCCGGCGCCAGCAGCGGCGCGAGCCGGAGCAGCGGCGGAAGCAGCTTGTCGGACGCCGTTTGCTCTAGCAGCAGCAGCGGCGGCTGTGACGTGACGGCAAGCCGTCAGTCTGACGGAAGCATGTACATCACGGCCGGGCCCTACCGTCACGGCGGTATCGCGAATGACGTGGCGATGACGTCACACCCGTTTAGCAGCATTGTTCCTCCTTACACCGGCTTCAGCTTGAAGAACGCTACGAGCGAAGCTGGCGAGAGCGCCCGATACAATCACACGCGCAGCGCAACCAGCAGCAGCAGCACGGACGGAAGTGACGATACCGCAGATTTCAACCCGCGCAGCCAGCGCAATCCAGTCGCGCTATCCGTACCGAAGCTCCCCACTCCGCCTGTGTGTGCGCCTGCGCGTGCGCCTAACCCCTTCGTTTCTTTCACGCCGCAGACCATCCCGCTCGCTGTTATCACATCCGTTGGTGGCACTAACGGCAGTGTCATGGCGGGCGTTTCGTCCTCGCCGCCGTCGGATCCTTTTGAGGAGCGGCCATCTGAACCGTCCACCCCGATCGTCCTCTATTCGCCCACCGCGTTCGCCGCGCGCCATCCCTCCCTGCAGCCGTCGTTCAGCTGCTTCCTCACCTCCTCCGCTCTCCACTCCTCCGCTTCCCCCATTTCCTCCTCACCCCCTTCCACCTCCCCATTCTCCTCCGCTTTATCCTCGTCTTTGTCAGCCTCGCTATCCGCTACTGCCGATGCTGCGGATGCTGCCGATTCCGATGATGCACCTCTTCTCTCGTCGTCGACTGAGCCTGGCTCTACGCACGCAGCTCGTTACAATCACTACGCGAAAGATGCGCTCAAGGCTTCCGCCTGGAGCCCTCCGAGCGCCTCGCTTCCGCCTCCTCCCGGCGGTTCCGCGGATGCTGTTATTGACGAGCCCTTGCCGCCCGCAGCCACTTCAGCGGAATCCGACGTGGCAGATGCGACGTGGCAGGCACCCGATGCCTTTTCTGCGCATCCCTTCGCTCACTCCGCAAGCCGCGCCGCTTTCGACGGTGGAGTTACACCTTCTCTGCCGCATGCCTCTCTTCTGATGTCTTCTCACGACTTCGCGGAAGATTCCGATGTAGTAACAAAGGCAGAGGCAGCGGCGAGCGCGGCTAGCACCTCAGCTGACGCCGCATCGTCCGCCGCGAATGGCGCCGCGACAGCCACCCCCGGTGGAAGCTCGTTTCTCGGGAACCTCTTCTCATGGACGCGCGCAGAAGCGACAGCGCAGCCGTCCAGACCTGTGTCGCTGCCGCCCACGCTTTCTCTCGCGTCGGCACAGGTGTTCACCGGACCAGAATTCCACTCCACGTCATCCTACTTCGGTTCCACGTCATCAGGCAGCTCCAACCGCTCGATCAACGGCTACGATGCGGAATCGGAGGGCATCGACGGCTCACGGACCAAGGAGGGGAAAGGAGGGGAGAATGGATTTGAGAACAATAAAGAGGATGACAGTAACGAGTTCGACGAGCCGCTTTATATTTTGGACACCAAGCACGGGGCGCGCAGAGAAGTGGGGTGTGATTATAGCGAGCGTTCCAATAAGGAGCCTTCTTCTGCTGCACTGAGCAGATCTCTGAGCAAGCTCGCTGAAACGAATGGTGCACCGCATGCCACCGCTGCTGGTGATATTTCAGCTACAGCCGCTGCAACCGCTGCTGCTACAGGTGCTGCTACAGCTGCTACAGCCGCTACAGCCGCCGCTGCTACAGTGCCCGCTACAGCTGGAGGGTTGGCGAGTATGAGCTTTTCAAGCCGGCTGAGCCAGCTGATTGGTTTAGGCAGTGGCGGCGGTAACAGTAACGGTAACGGTAACGGTGACAGTGATGGTAACGGAATTGGTACTGTTACCAGCGGTGTTGGAAGTGGCATTGGCGGTGGGAAGGGATACGCGTTATTGAGTTTGGATGAGGGCGACGCAGTGACGTTTAACGAAGCGAGCCCGTCCTGCTGGGCTCCCACGTCAGCAGCCACGTCAGCCACCGCCACCGCCACTAGTGCTTCCCCCGCTGCTTCGTTTGCAAGTATGGGAGGTATGGAGATTGAGAATGGTTTCAAGGCGCTTCGAAGCGCGGAAGCAGGAGAAACGGCAACGGATGGAGAGGCAGCCATGGATGGGATGGTTCTGCTCGCTGCCGCACCCGCTCCTGCTTCTCCGCCCCTTCCCAGCCTTGATGCTCCTGCTGTAGCCCCTGCAGTCCCCGCTGCTACCGCGGATCCTGCTGCTTCTGCCCCTGCTGCCGCTTCTGTCATTGCTGCCAATACGGTTGCTGCTTCTGCTACTACTGCTTCTGGTTTTACTGCTGATTCGTTATCCGCGAAAGGCAAGGGCAAGGCGCCCAAGTCTTCGTCTAAAGCGGCGGCTGCGGCGGCCATTGCTGCCGCCACTGCAGCCAAGATTGCCGCGTTGGGGATCGGGGGAAAAGCGGAGGAGAAGCGGCAGGCGGAAGCCGCGGAAGGGGGAGCGGGCGGGGAGTCGGGAAGCCGGGGGGAAGAAGGAAAATGGGGAGAAGGGGAAGGGGTAGAAGACGACGAGGAGGAGGAGGAGAGGAAGGGGGGAGCGCGCAAGGCGTTCTGGGACGAAGGGGAGTATGAGGCGGAGGAGGAGGCGGAAGAGGTGAATGAGATACTGGAATTACAAGAGTGGATGGAGGCGCAGATGCTGGTTGAGGGCGTGCGGAGGGCGCTCACGCGCGGAGGGACTGGGGGAAGCGGAGGAGCCGGGGGAAGCGGAGGGGGGAGAGTGAATGAGGTGGAAACCGGAGGGGCCGGAGGAGGGGGAGCGGCAGCAGCGGGAGCAAGAGGAGCAGCGAGTGTGTGTGATGCTGAGATGGAGGCATGGATGCTTGCCCTGCCTCCGCTGGTGGTGATGGCTCGCAGTGACGATGGAGTGGAGGAGACTGGTGAGGAGGAGGTGGAAGAGGAGGGAGACGGGGGAGAGGAGGAAGTGATGGTGGTGGAAGGGGAGGAGGGAGAGGAGGTGGAGGTGATAGAGTTGGAGGAAGGGGAGGAGCTTGAGGAAGGGATGGAAGTGGTAGAAATAGTGGAGAGGGAGGTGGAGGAGGAGGAGGAGGAAGAGGTGGAAGAGGAGGAGAGGGAGGGGGACGTGGAAGAGGGGCACGGTGGGGAAGCGAGTGGAAGTGAGGGAGAGGAGGAGAGGGATTCTGGTAGTGAATGTGGTAGTGAGTATGCAAGTGAGAGGGAGAGTGATGAGGGGAGTGTGAGTGGGAGTGTGAGTGAGAGGGATAGTGAGTGCGGGAGTGAGAGTAGGAGCGAGAGTGGGAGTGTGTGTGGGAGCGATATTGGGTCAGTGAGTGAGGCGAGTGAGGGTGTGAGTGAGGAAAGAGAAGAAAATGAGAGAGTGGAGAGTGAGGAGGAGAGTGAGGATGAGAGAGAGGCGGAGATCGAGGAATATGGTGGTAGTGAGGGGGAGGAAGTCGCTGAGAGTGAGTGTGGGAGTGAGGGGGGAGAGGAAGGCAGTCTGAAGAGTGAGGATGAGAGAGAAGAGGAGGACGAGGAGGGAGGCGAAGGGGGTGCGGGGGAGGAAGCTGCTGAGAGTGAGAGGGAGGAGGAGCGCAGCTTGAAGAGTGAGGGTGAGGACGAGGATGAGAGGGAAGGGAGCGCCGAGGAGAGGGAGGAGGGTGCGGAGGAGAGGGAAGAGAGGGAGGAGAGGGACGAGGAGCAAGAGGAGGAGGAGGAGGAGGAAGGGTCAGTTAAAGCTGACGTGGATACCGAGGAAGAGGAGGAAGGGGTGGAAGGGACTGGTGGTGATGAGGTGGGGGAGGGGGAGGAAGGAGAAGTAGAAAGAATGGAAGCAGAAGGAGCGGAAGCAGAAGAGACAGAAGAAGGGAAAGAGGGAGGAGACGGGGAGGAGTTTCCGGAGGGTGCAGGAGAGGGGGTGAGGGAGGAGGAAGGCGAGGTGAAGGAGGAGGAAGGTGGGGTGGAGGAGGAAGGTGAGGTGGAGGAGGAAGGTGGGGTGGAGGAGGAAGGTGAGGTGGAGGAGGGAGAAAGCGAAACGACTGGTGGGTGTGAGGACGAGGGTATAGAATCGTGTGAGAAGGAGAGTGCGGAGGAGAGTGAGGAAGAGGCACGGGAGGGAGATACGGAGAGTGTAGCCGAGATGGAGGAGGGAGAGGAGAAAGAGGAGTGTGTTGAGGAGAGAGTGGAAGAGGTAGAGGAGGGAGAGGAGGCGAGTGTGGAGTTGCGTGGTGCAGAGAAAGCGGAGGAGAGGGAAGGTGAGTCGTGCACTTATGAAGGGAGTGTGATGGGAGGAGGGATTCACGTTGGAGAGAGAAGGGATGAGACAGCAGACGTGGTAGGGATCGCTGACCTGGCGGGAACTGTTCTTGATGCTGCTGATGTGGCGGTCGCTGCTGATGTGGCCGAAGGTGCATACTTAGCAGAAGGAGCTGACGTGGCAGAAGATGCGGATGTGTCAAGTGGTGCTGATGTGGCAGAAGGCCCGGAGGCATGTGACAGGTTGGCAGAGGATGCCAGATTTGGCGCAGCGGGGAAGGAGGAAGGGGGTGAGGAGGGCAGTGAGAAGGGAAGTGAAGAGGAGAGTGGGGAGGCGACGGGTGTGTACGAAGAGAGTAGTGTGGTTGAGGAGAGTGTGGAGGAAGAGAGTGTGGAGGAGGGAGTGGAGAGAGAGGATGAGGATGAGGAGGTGGAGGTGAAGGGAGAGGAGGGAGAGGAGGGGGAAATGGAAGAGCAGGAGTGTGGTGATGGGGACGAAGAGGAGGTGGAGGTAGAAGAGGGTGAGGAGGGAGAGGTAGAGGGGGGAGTGGAAGAGGAGGAAGAGGGAGTGATATACGAGTACGTGAACGAGGAGGACCTAGAGGAAGGGGAGGAGATCGTAGAGTTCGTGTATGAAGAGGAGGAGGAGGGAGAGCAGGGGGAGCGAGAGGACGAGGCAGAGGAGGGAGAGGAGGAGGTGGAGGCGATTGGGGAAGGGGAAGGGGAGGTGATCTTAGAGTTCGTGTATGAAGAGGAGGAGGAGGGGGAGGGAGAAGGAGAGGAGGGAGAGGGAGAGGAGGAGGAGGTGGAAGAAATTGGGGACGAGGAGGTTGTGGGAGCAGAAGAGGAGGAACAGGAAGAGTATGCAGACGAGGAGGAAGGAGAGGAAGCGTATGAAGTAGTGGAGGTATTGGAAGAGGATGGGGGAGAGGGTGGGGAGGAGGGGTATGAGGAGGGGGAGATGGAGGGGGAGGAGGGAGAAGAAGAGGAGGAGGTTGATATATTGGAGGGCGAGGGGGAGGAAGAGGGGGAAGGGGAGGAGGTGGAAGAGATATTATCTGACGATGAGCGGGAGCAGATGCTGGATGATGATGATGATGGGGAGGACAGGGAGGAGGAGGGGGAGGAGGAGACGTTGGATGGTGAGGATGAGGGGAAGCAAATGGATGAGGGAGAGGAGAGTGAGGGAGAAATGAAGAGGGAGGGAGAGGAGGGCGAGGTCGGAGTGGGAAGTGAGGATGGAGAGGGAAGCAGGGGAGAGGAGGGGAAAGAGGAAGTGGAAGAGGAGGAAAGGGAGGGAGAGGAGGAAGAACATGGATCTGGTAGTGAGGAACACAATAACGAGGATGGGGAAGGGGAGGGGAGTGCTGAGGAACGTGAGGATGTGAGTGTGGGTGGGGAGGAGGGGAGTGAGTATGGGGATGATGTGAGCTTGGGGAGTGATGAGGAGTACGAGGAGGTTGAGGAGGAGTATGAGGAGGTGGAGGAGGAATTGTCTTACACTATGAGTGAGGGGGAGGGTGGGGAGGAAGAGAGTGAGGGAGGGGAAGGGGGAGAGAGTGAGGGAGTGGGAGAGGGAGTGGGAGAGGGAGAGGGAGAGGGAGAGGAAGGAGAGGTTACTGGGGAGGCTGTTGCAATCGGTTCAGAGGGAGCTGAGGAGGAGACTGAGGAGAGCAGAAGCGGAGAGGAGGATTCGAGTGATGAAACACATGAAGCATCTCACTTGAAGATTGAAGAGGAGAGAGTGATGGGCGATGGAGGCATGGAGGAGGAAACAGGCTCAGAGGACGGGGAGTGGGAGGAAGTGGGGTCAGAGGAAGGCTCGTGGGTAGGATCAGAGGAAATTTCAGAGGAAGGTTCCCAAGGGGGCGAATCAGAGGAGGCGGCTGAATCGGAGCAGAAGCAGCAGAGGGAGCTAACGGATGGGACGGAGCAGAGAGAGCAGAAGGTGAGGGTGGGGAGGAGGCGGCGCAGAGTGCACAAGGCGGGGGTGTCGTTTGGGAAGTTCATCCCCGCTGAGCTGAGCGACCTGGAGTCCCATGAGCTGGAGGGGGAGGGCGAGGGGCACAAAGGGGAAGAGCAGGAGAAGAACGGAGTGGTGCTGTGCGGTTGAGCTGGGCTGGGCAGCGCAGTGTGGTGCACAAGGCACGTTTGGGAAGTTCATCCCCGCTGAGCTGAGCGAGCTGGAGTCCCATGAGCTGGAGGGGGAGGGGGAGGGAGCAGGAGAAGGACAGAGTGGTGCTGTGCGGTTGAGCTGAGTGAGCTCAGCGAGCTGGAGTCGCATGAGCTGGAGGGGGAGGGGGGCAATGAAACAGCCGAAGTCGCGATTTGTAACGCAGCGGTAACGTCGCGAGCCACGGTTAAAGCCTAAGTTTTTATTTGTAACTCAGCGAGCCACGAAACGTAGGCGAATTCTTGTGTCGACTCAAAAAGCAGGTGCAGCATTGACAATCGAGGATGAAGGCACTGCAAAAGCCAAGGCAGTACAGGTTGGGTTTTGAATTGCAGCTGTAACGCCGCGAGCCATGATCCGAGACGGGGGAAAGCTTGGCAGTGCCTTTAGAAGTCTCAAACCTCGATTTGTTGGGAAGAGAAGACAGGAGACAGTGCCGAATAGCATCATGAACTGGGGAGACTGTTGCAATGGGGAGGCTGTGGGGAGGGAGGCGAGAGGGGGAGGGGGGGGGGGGAGGACTTTTGAGACGTCTCAAAAGCCGAGTGGCATCAGGAAATGGGGATACTGTTGCAATGGGAAGGCTGTGGGGAGTGGGGGGGGGGGAGGGGGAGGGGGAAATTGAGGGGGGTTTGTTGGGAAGCCAGAGGGGGGAGGCGGTGGTGAGTGGAGGGGGAGGGGCTGTGGGAGGGTTTGTGGGAGGGTTGGTGGGTGCGGGATAGGTGGGGGAGGTTGTGGGGGAAACTGTGGGAGAAACAATGGGGGGAGAAGTGTGGGGAAGTGTACTAGGTGGAGTTATGATGGGAGTGTGGGTGCGACCGTGAGTGAACATGAAGTGGAAACATGGTCTTCTATGCATGTCAACATGCAGTCACGCAGACATGCAGTTGTAAGGGTGGCTGGCTTGTTTGTTCTGGCAGGGAAGGCAATGGTGGTAGGCAGGTAGACCTGTGTGTGGTGCACTCACGGTACGTTTTTCTGTGAGACAGACTGAGTTGGCAACTGTAGGGTTTGCTTTCTTGAAGGTGCCTAGAATTTGGTACAAGCGATAGGCTGGATGTTAGGCTTGTTTGTGTGCTGGCTGAATGGGCTGGCTCTTCTGTGTGGTAAAAGCTGTTTGACAGCTGTAGTCTGTAGAGTTTTGCTGGTTTCTTGGCAGGGCTCAGTTGGGCTCAGTTGGGCTCAGTTGGGCTCAGCATTGCAACTGAGCCCAACTGCCAAATCAGTGTTGTTCCTATTGTGACAGTTGGTCTCAGTTGCTGGTTGTCTTCATGTAGCTTGAACAATGTATATCTTTAGCTTAGTGTAGAGAGCTAGAGTTTTGCAACTATTTTTCTAGTATGGTAATTTCTCTATCAATAGCACTCTGTTCCATGCATGCACATGTACGGTACTTAGGGTGAATTCCTATGATGCCATCACCATAACCAGGGCTAATTTTTTGTTTTTACCAACCCTTACGATCAGTGTCAACCGGTTTCTAAACCCTGTTGATCAGTGTGACCCCTAGTGGAAAGCCTGTTTCATCAGGGTTTATGATTGTTTCTGAAATTTTACACTGTAGCATCAGTGTAGTGATTTTTAAAAACCTGATGCAATTGTTATTAACAGAGCACACAATAACAATTACTAGTCATCATCATCAGACATGCCACACGGGTGTTGCTCGTGGTCACTTGCTTCTTCAGGCTCTGGCACTTTCTCCTTTCCCTTTCTCTCCACTGGGAGCACATGCGCAACTGATTTCGCCGGCCGTCGGGTTTTCTGCTTTCGCCAGATGTCCACCACATCTGGCCACACGTAAGTGTACTTGACCATGTGCAGCGTCATGAGGTCGCCTAGGCGTGCATCGCCCAGCGATGTGCGCATCCAGCTTTTGATTATGTTTTGCCGGCTGAAACCTCTCTCACACTCAACTGTGCTCAGCGGCAGAACAGCGAGTGCCTGCCACAATGTCATCAAGCTCGGGTAGCTGCGACGCCATGTCAGAGGTCCACTGGTGATCCCCGATTGATCCTAGGGAAGGGTTACAGGCATGTTGGCCTGGGGGGTTATGGGCGCACTGACCCGCTACTTAACAAGCCCTTTTATCCCAGTGGTTAGTGGTTGGGATTCTGACATGGTATCAGAGCGAAGATCTCGGGTTCGAATCCCAGTGTGTGCACTTCGGGCATCCCAGTGTGGGGGGGTGTCAGAGGTCCACTGGTGATCCCCGATTGATCCTAGGGAAGGGTTACAGGCATGTTGGCCTGGGGGGTTATGGGCGCACTGACCCGCTACTTAACAAGCCCTTTTATCCCAATGGTCTAGTGGTTGGGATTCTGACACGCCAGTCCCTGCTCTTCAGCATGCTATGCAACCCTTGGTGGAAATCTTCCCCCCCGTGATGACGTGCCAAGATGTGACAGAAGCTCTTGAGCTCCTTCTTCGCAGCCTTGAAGTTAAATCCTGTCGTGCACGGGGTTTTACAAGGGGGATGTACGGGTGGGTGGTTGTGGTTGGTGGAAACAGGATACAGCATGATGAGAGGAAGCCGATCCGACCTGCACGCGTGTACAAAATCTACTCTTACCAGGGAGCATGCCGCCAAATAGCTCGTCGTTTTGGGCCAGCCAATCCAGGCACTTCATCTCCCTCGCGTCTTCCCTGGACGGCCACGATTCCACTTGAAACAGCTTCGCGCCGCCCATCTGCTGCAAGTCCCACATGCGATATTTCATCCTGGCCACGATCTCTTTCGCAAATCCCGTGCACAGCTTCACACAGTCCGCGAGCGTGCCCCCAAACTTGTGCTTCTTGATGGGTTTCTCGCTCAGCTCAAATCGATGTGTTGTCGGCCGCCCATCGCCGTCAACCCCCTCAACCACCAACGTCCGATCTTCCCCTCCGCGTTCCTTGATGAATTTCGACAGTAGCTTGCTGACCCCGCCTCCAAATGTCTCCCCGTACTCGATGTAGCGGTGCGTGATGATGGTGATTGTGCGGTCCACCTCCTTCGCCACTTGGGTGATGTCAACATGGGTAACATCGAAACCAGATACAAGTTAGTATTTGTATGATAGAGCTACATGCAACTCTGCTTAAACAACGAAATCACTTACCTTGCGGTGCTGGAAAAACCGGTTCAGGGCGTTCAGCTCTGCAAGGATGTCAGCCATGAAGTACAAGCAAAAATGAAACTTAAAAGTCTGCACTGTGGCTGCAAATTTGTGGCCGTACTCGACAATCATGACAATCGCTGCCCTGAAAACCTTGCACAGCCGAGCGATTGCGTCTCCCCGCGACAGCCACCGCACGTTGAACAGCCCTTGATGCTCCAGATTGGTCTTGGTGATCTCCTTCTGAAGCTCCTTGAATCGCTCGTACCAGATGCTCGAGCGACAAATAATCTCCCCAACCGCACGCACACCCGCATCGATCATGTTCAGGTCAGGGAATGCCTTAGCAGCAACCTTGACCACGAGCGCCTCCCCGCCATAGATAGGTACAGTGCAGGTTTGAAATTAAGATCAATGTACAACGACCAGAAACACACACAAGGTTCATTATCGGGGAGCAGCAGACTTTACCAATGCGCAACGCAGTGACATCCAACAAGGTGAGGGACGCGTTCACGAAGGCGGAAAACAAGGCCACCCTTGTCGCCCGTCATGACGGAAGCACCGTCGGTGCCGACGCCAGACACGCGGTTGAGGTCGACACCGACAGACTCCAAGTGGCTCAGAAGCACGGTGAAGAGCGATGACGTGTCGCACTTGTGCACCGTTAGCATCGCCAAGAATTCTGTAACGGCCGTGCCGTTCTTGAGGAATGTGGCAAACACAATCAAGTGTTTGCCACGCGCGCGGTCGGTACTCTCATCACATGTGAGGCCGATGAAAGGTGAAGCGAGTAGATGCTGCAGCTGCTGTGATCGCTGGTATTGTGCCATAGCCCCCGCCATCTCGTTGAAACCATACCTGCCACACATATGAAGACGGTGTCATGCGTGTTTATGCGCAATGCAAAATATGGACGAAACAAATCCAAACATAACACGCAACGAAATCACTTACTGAGTTATGTAAATCCCGTAAGACTGCAGCGGGATGTCTGTCACACCCTCTTCTGCCATGAAATTTACGAGCCTCGGAAACATGGCGATAGGAGCATCGTGGTCGCAGATGAACTCCACGCTCCGCATGAGCCGAGTGAGCCGCGCACCCTCCTTGTCGGCGTTGGCGAAGTCGTCAATCCGCTTCTGCTGCTCAATCTCCGCCATGAGCGTCCGCTGCCTTTTCATACTCTCTTCGTGGCGGACGCTCAGCTCGTGACAACGCATGGAGCCAGGCTGCAGGTCGCGTCCCCCAGAGCCGTTGCGCCCAAACTTTGCGTCGTCTTTCCCGTGCTCCACACAGATGCTGCATCGCAATATCGGCAACCCTTCATCGTTTTTATCAAGCAGCAGCCAGTCAAACTTCACTAGCCACTGCGTGATGTACAGCTGCTGCGCCTTGTCGAATTTCTCCTCCGCCTTTTCGGCGCGGGAGAGTTCGCGAGACACACGCGTGGGAGCTTGGATGGGGGTCGGAGGTGGATTAGGCCTCGCAGGGGGCGTGCCGAACGCTTGCGCAAAGCGTCGTTTCTTGTTAGAGGCTGCAGACGAAGACTCGCCTACCTCTGTTACGATGACTGTGGCCGGAGCGCTGTCCGGCTCAACGGCAGAGGAAATCGGTGGCCGTGCATCAGGATGTTTTTCGGCGCTGCACGATGACGGGCCTGCAATGCAGATAGGCGGAGGATTTTGATGCAGCCCTCTGAGAAAATATAGTCCTGTCCGCGATGGTGCTTCATTAGGTGGCTCGTCTGCAGCGTCACCTTCATCATCGCTCTCTGTTGGCGCCATGGCTGAGGGTGTGGGTGTTGGGAAAACTGCAAGCTAAGGTGAGAGAGAGTTCTCTCGTGGCCTCACTAAAACCACGCGGGTGTCCCCAATCCCAGGCGCAGCAGTTTCCCTAACGTGCAGGCAAACGCATTAGTGTGAGCCACAGGCAGTTGTGCAACGAACGTGGTTAGCAGTGGGCTAATGGGCACCGATTTTCTGCGGAAGTATGCCCGGTTTCCTGGCCAACCGGGAATGTTGGCATGTCAGACAACACGACCGCGTGGAAACTTTGGCCCTGAGTAATGTAACTGTACTTCTGGCCAATGGTGGCCCACCTCGTGCCAGCACATATAACGTCCTGGACAAAATTTCAAATTCGACAGTTGGCAATCGGGATTCTCGGGTTACGGGGTAGGGGGGTAGGGGTTAGGGTGGGGGGGGGGGGGGGGGGGGGGGGGGGAAGGTTGGTACTCGTTTCAGGGTAAAACTCGTTTGGAGGTACGGCAACCCTGAGGCGACAGTGTGCCAAAAACGTAAACCCTGGCTTATCAGGGAAAATCTAACTCCGTAAAAAAATACCCTAAGGCATCAGTGTGACTACCAAAAACCACCCTGATAATCAGGGTATCAGGGTGATTTACCCTGATAAAATGAGGCCTGACCATAACCACAAATGAGTGCCACTGTTGTTGGCACTGCTCCTGCTGCTCCCCTTCACCCTTGTCGTCACGCTTCTCTTCACCCTTCTCTTCCCCCTTCTCTTCTCCCTTCCCTTCACCCTTCTCTTCCCCCTTCTCTTCTCCCTTCCCTTCACCCTTCTCTTCCCCCTTCTCTTCTCCCTTCCCTTCACCCTTCTCTTCCCCCTTCTCTTCCCCCTTCTCTTCTCCCCTCTCTTCTCCCTTCTCATCTCCCTTCTCTTCACCCCTCCCTTCACCCTTCTCTTCTCCCTTCTGGTCCACGTACCCGTTTCACCTGCCCAGCACCACTCACACCCTCACTCATGCCCACACCTCCAGCAGCCATAACCCCACCAGTGCTGCCCATAACCCCACCAGTGCTGCCCATAACCCCAGTACCCCCACTCCCACCTTCACAGTCCACGCCCTTCCTCTTCACTCCCCTCTCCTCTTGATCGCCTTCCCTTCTTTTCCCTGAACCGTTTCCCTCCATTCGCATCACGCCACCACCACTGCCCACCCCACTGCCCATGCCACTGCCCATACCACCACCCACGCCACTGCCCATGCAACTCCCCACCAAACCACCCAACACCATCCCACCGCCCAACCCACCCCCCACCCCACTGCCTGTGGCAGCAGCTTCAGCCCCTCCCAGCCCTCCACTCGTCCCTTCCACCACCCCTCCCCGTCTCCCCCTCCCTCCTCTCCTCCCCCTTCCCATTCCCACCTGCGCGCTTCTCCTGCCACCCCTGCCCCGTCCGCCCGTCGGCCTCCCATCCTCCAAACCACCCACTCTCATCCCTTCAGCCCTTGCACCCTGCAAGCCCTGTATCCCCTGAACCCCCTGAATCCCCTGAATCCCCTGTATCCCCTGCATCCCCTGCTGCGCGCCATTCTCGCCCTGCGCCCCTGCAAACCGTGCATCCTGCAAGCCTTGCAGCCCCTTCCCGCCCTGCATCCCCTGCGGACCTTCACCCCTTGCACCCTGCAACCCCAGCATCCCCTGCACTCCTACAAGCCTCGAACCCTGCTCCTTCTGCTCCCTCTGCTCCCTCTGCTCACTCTGCCCCCCCTCGCTCTGCACTACAGGCGATGCGTCTCGCTGCACGACCGGTGTCGTGGCTAGCTGCGCTGAGAGCATAGGAGCCCGCTGGGAAAGCAACGACGCACTGCCTTGCTGTGGCAACGGTAACCACATGTGGGGGGTCTGCGCTGGCCCGTTTGATAGAGCAGGAGTGTTGCTGATACTGATACTGATGCTGTTGCTGATGCTGCTACTGGCGGTCTGGTTACCAGTGGAATTACTGGTGCTGGCTTTATTGGCGGGCTGATTACCAGAACCGCTGCTGTTACCAGAAAGGATGGTGTTACTCTTAGACCCACGCCCCCCACCCCCTCTAGCACGACTGCGGCCCCTCTTACCCTCTCCAACCGCCCCTCTCCCTCTTCCAGCCCCTCCCACACTGCCTTCTGACCCTCTCTTACCCTCCCCGACCGCCACTCTTTCAGCCCCTCCCCCATTGCCATCTGACCCTTGGCTAAGCGATTCTTGGTTCCCAAAAGAGTTGGAGATACGGTTCAAAGGAGTGGACATGGATTTTAGAGGGGTATTTAGTGGTTGGTTAGGGATAAGAGGAAAGCGGCTAGTGGGAGGAGGAGGGTGCTGGGGAAAAGGAAGGGAAGAGGTTGATATAACTTTAGCGCCAGCAGCAGAACCACCACCGGCAGCAGCACCACCAGCAGCAGAAGCAGCAGCCGTAGCGCTAACAGGTACAACCCCAACTGCAGTACCTGCTCCGTTTGTGACTACTCCATTATCAATACTCGCACCCAAACCCGGACCTGGATCCGAGCCTGAACCCAGGGCACGAGCCAGAGGCCCAGGTGCCGAACCTGCTGCAGGAGGCGGTTCAGGTTTGGCATGAGGGTCTGGCTTTTTGGCGGGAAGAAGGAAATAGAACCGTTTATCCCCCACCTGCAGCAGCTGCTGGGATTTTAGCGGGATCGGGTCAGATCCAGAAGGTTTCGACTGCCCGTCCACGTACACCCCGTTCTTCCCGAGCACCTCCAGGCGAAATTCGCGAGCGGCGAAATCGTAGAAGATCCTCGCATGGTCTCGTGAAACGTTCATCCCGCCGCCGAGCGCGGAGAGATCGAGATCGACGGACGACTTTTTGCTGTTGCGACCGAGCACGACGGAATACGACTGCATGAAATACTCGAAATCTTCGCCGTGGAGCTTCGCGAAACCCGCGCGAACCTGCGTCGCGAACGGCTGCGACTGCGCTGGCGACGGCGACGGCGACTGCGACTTCGCCTTCGGCGGCGCCGCAATTTGCTGTTCACCCTGCGCTGGCCGCTGTTGCGGCTGTTGTGCCGGCGGTTCCGCCATTGGCGGATTGGATCGGGGAACGGACTGTTGCGGGAGGAGCGGGAGCTGAAGCGAAGGCGAACGGAGGAGCGGATGCGGCTGTTGCTGTGGGTGACGCTGCGATTGTGGCATGATTGCAACGGTCAACGGCGGGTACTGTACCTGACGTTGCGGCTTGAAACAATATTGGTGAAAGATATATTTTTTTTGAGGAAAAATAGTAATCAGTGTAACTTATTCAATATGCCTACAGCGAAACCTTGCTTCGTTACATTTCAACAAGCATACAGACATGCATAAACCCTTCCTAGAAGTGTCTTACTACCTCAAACATCAAAAGACCATCGCCAAAACCCGAAACAAAGTATTGCTTCCTAAGACATCTACAGCCGCATGTCGACCAAGTAGGGCACGTCCACCCATGGTGCTCCCTCTCCAAACTCCTGCTCCCCACCCCCTCGCTCCACCCACTCCGCCTCGGACTGACCCAACGTGTATGCCGCCCGCAAAAGAATCACCCGAGCCTGTGCCTTCTGCAAAGCTACCCCTACCGCGGCTGTCAAGGACCCCACCAAGTATTCCGAGAAACCCGAGCTGTTGCCCCTTCCCACACCTTTGTTAAGAGCCACCTTTACTTGAACCTCCCCCTGCTGCCGTAACCACTGTCGAAAGCTTCCCCCCAAGCAACCCCAAGTCTCAAGAATCAACGGGAAGAAACGAACCCCCCTGTGCTGCCGCAGAAAAGGTTGATAATCCGTCGCCTTCCTCTTCTCTCGCTCCCTGGCAGCAAAACCTACTGTCCGCCCACACTGCCCATGCTGCTGCACCGGTAGCGAAACCGGATCCACGACGCTCACCTCGAGCGCATGTTTTTCCCCGTCCATTGGTTTCCTAACCGCCACATCCACTCTCTTCCCCGGCAGAAGCGTGTCATCCTCGATCGTAACCACCCCACCCGATGCCTTGGCTATCTTAGCAACAACGAGCTTCACTGCATCATGAACACGAGACGGGGCGTACTGGTACTTGCACCGAAGAGCATGGTGCGGATCTGACGGGTCCTTGAACTCCACACCGCAAACACACTTGCCAGCAACCAGAAGCTGGTGGACGGGAAGGCCCAAACGGATTGCCGCCGAAATGCCCCACTCCACAGGGGTGAAAGTTGCATCATCATGCGCTGGAACTGCGGACACCCATGCTGCCGAACCCGGGCCCTGAAGGGAAGTCAAACGGGCCAAGGTAGCATCATCGCGGGCCATGCGCCGCAGAGACTGAAGACTTTCAACCGCCAAGCGACGCTGCTGCGCTGGGAAAAGCTGGAGGGGGGGATTTGTAGTGCAGAGCCCCAAACTCGGCAATTCCTGCCTGACAACAGGCGGGAGCTGGTCAAGGGCCTTGGTAAACCAAGGGTCCAGTAAATCCCCAGCCGGCGGAGTGCGGAAGAACTCACTGAACATCTGCTCCTCGCCCGCTACTCCCAGCTTGACAACAGCACTCGCAGCCTGGCACCACCCACAGACGTAAGAGAGAGGGCTAAGAGTTGCTGCTGAACGAATGCCAAACCCGCCCAAACGAGCCGGGAGGTGCAGCTGCAGGTGAGCCATGCGCGACCTATCAGGACTGAAGTCCCAAGTGTCTGGCGGGAAAAGTTGCTCAAAGCACTCTTCCAAAGCCCCATCCCAATCTCTGAAAGCGTCAAGAACCTCAGGACGAGGGGGAACAGTGCGAGTCAAGAAGAGCGGCCGCGCAGACACGGCAACAGCCAACAAGTGGGAGGCAATCTGGGGGTGGTTCAAAATAGGAAGCCAAGGTAGAGGTGATCGCAGCTGCAAAAGTCTCTCCCTCAAGCGCGCCACCTCCCAATCCTCCTCTCCAATAGGTACCCCCACCACTGTTAACCCCGTCCACGACTGCTGCATTCCCAGCGGAATATCCCCAGACGCTGCCGCCTCCCCTCTTTCCCACATCCTACACTTGTGCGATTGCACCTCCAAGCCCACCCACTCCAGTCGCTCCCGCAAGACATCGTACGCCGCCAACACCCGCTCCCGCGGGCCAAGAACGTAGGTGTCATCAGCGTAGCTCAAGAAAAGAAGATCAGGGAAATCCTTCATTGTAGGCCCCATAACCAACTGCTGCGTGAAAGCAAAAAGGAAGGGACCAAATGGATCCCCCTGTCGCGAACCCCGCTCGGACGCCAGCATCTCGACAAAGGGGCCTGTGCGAAGGTACAGACCGCTGGGCACCCCATAAAAGACGCGTAAGAAAGGGATAAGGCCAGCAAAAGGAGAATCGCGGAGGCCGTCGAACATCACGTGCCGATGGAACGAGTTGAAGGCATTCGCTACATCGATCTGCAGCGCGCACCACGTCGGATGAACCGCTACAGCCGAGCGGAAAGCATGCGCCAGAATCTCCACCCCCGACTTAGTCCCCACCCCTAGTTGGTTACAAGGAGCGAAATAGGTCTCCATGTCGGGACGAAGAAGAACGCATAACGCACGCGCCAGAATCCGAGGGAGCACCTCTCCGATAGCCACTGGGCGGACGTCCCCGTTCGGCTTGGATAACCCAACCAAGTTCGAGGCTGCAAGCCAGGGCCGCACCCGCTCAGAAACGCATCCCGAAATCCACTGCCTGAACACCTCCAACAGATGCGGGAGATAGGAAGGCTCCGAGAGAAATGTGTCTCGGAGGTGCTCTGTCATCCATCCTGAGGGGCCTGGTGCTGAGGCTCGCGCTGCGGAATGAATAGCATGCTTGAGGATGTCTTCAGTTAGGTGGGGAAGATGAGAAACGTCTATGCGAAAGTGCTCCACCCACTCAGGAACTGGCACCTCACTGGCCGGGTGCTTTGCTGTCAGCCGGTCTACTGTTAGTTGAGAGGGCTGCGCCAAGTCGCCCGCAGTAAGGCATGCTAGTCCTCGACTCCATTCCCCCACTTGGCACCTCGTGCGACATCGGGCCAAACGGATGGCATCAGCATCTCGCTCAGGTAAGGAGAAGGCAAGAGGTCGCGCCGCCGGAGTCAACGCGGCAGAGGCAGCCTCGAACAGCTGTTGCCATTCCCCTGCCCAGAACTTTCCGAGACGCCCTACTATGGCTGCCCTTCGTCCAAGACCCTCCTTCGCGGGGACTCCCAAAATGAGGCGCGGGAAGGCCAGGAACATCAGCGTCGCCGCCTCATCCCCAGGGGAAGCCTTCAGTCTCTTGAGAATGCAGCACAATGCATCAAGCACCCCCAGTCGCGCCCGCTGCGGGACCCGACGAAGAAGCTCTCCCGACACAGAATGAATACTGAAAAAAGTCTCCCAGTCCCACGAAGGCACCGCCCCCCACACCTCCTCGCCGATATCCCGCGGAGGTACTGGATCTGCCCCGAAGACCTCGCTCAGGTTCGGGGAGGAAGTAAGGGCCTGAGCCCGCCGCTGAGCATCTGCCGCTTTACATGCAACTATTCGTGAAATTCAAATTTCAGGGCTGATTTGAATTCGTGAAACCCTTCACCACGCACCAGCAGGCGGTACTCTCTAGGCTGATTTGCAGGGTTCTGATCAAATTCGAATTTCTGCAATTCACGTGGGGGGTTTGCTGTGAAATGGTGGGAAAAGTGGAGGAAATATCGAGTACAGGTACACGAGGACCGTTATAGTGTTGTAAATCGGATGTTACAATGTCTGCTTAGGGTATCAAATTGCAAATGTCTGCTACGGCGGCCATACCAAGAGAAGCCGTTGTCCTCTTAGAGGCCCCTAAAAAAAAACAAAATCACACAGTAGCCGGCCGTTGCGGCAGCAGCAGGTTGTAAAACGCATCGCGGACGAAAAAGTCCGCCCCGCCGTCAGTCTTGGCCTTCCGCCAAGCAACCCACCCGCCACTCCTTATCGCCTTTAAATCCTCCCCACCGGTATAATGCGGGTCGAGAATCAGAAACGCGCATTCCCCCGTCGCCTCGTCATAGTCTACACCTAATAAAGTGTACGATAGAACCCCGCCTCCTATCATTACCGGGGTGCCTTGCGTGGAAAAATGGTGGGCTAGTTGTCGGCCCTTAGAAGGCATGTCTGCTCCGGATGAGACTGTGAGCACCTTGCATGTGACCTGGAGATGGTAAGAGGGGTGCATGAGAAAGGGTGGGTTGGGTGTTTAAATGTTGGTTAAGTTGTCGGCGCTTAGAAGGCATGTCTGCTCCAGATGAGACTAAGAGGACCTTGCATGTGACCTGGGAAGAGTGGGTGCATGGGGTCGAGGAGGGTGCAGGAGAAGGGGCGCGTGGAGTGGCTGAACGAACCACTGCTGCGCTCTCACCATTATTCCACCTACCAACATCGCAGTCCACTAAGGCCTCCCCTCCCCTCCCCTCCCCTCCCCACCCCTCCCCTCCCCTCCTCTCCCCTCCTCTCCTTTCCAAGATGTAAGAAAGAGACTCACCCCTAGCAGGTGGTCAAGGATGAAGCTGAGCTCAATCGATCCTCTGCCGCGCTCTCACACACTGCCCACTGCTGTCCCACCGACCCACCCATTGTCCTCCCCTCGCCTACTGGGATACTCCCTCTCCCGCATAAGCTCACCCCCAGCAGATGGTCCAGGATGAAGCTCAGCTCAATCGATCATCTGCCACGCTTTCACTCACCACTAGCTCACCCCCTCTCGTCTCCTCTCCTCTTCTGGTCAAGAAACGAGGCAGCTCACCCCCAGCAGGTGGTCCAGAATGAAGCTGAGCTCGATGGCGCCGATCCACTGCCATGCTCTTAGTCACTTCCGACCAGTATCCCACCACGGACCCACATAACCCTCACCTCGCCTCCTCCCTCTCCCCTCCGACTCACCCCCAGCAGGTGGTCCAGAATGAAGCTGAGCTCGATGGCGCCGATCCACTGCCATGCTCTTAGTCACTTCCGACCAGTATCCCACCACGGACCCACATAACCCTCACCTCGCCTCCTCCCTCTCCCCTCCGACTCACCCCCAGCAGGTGGTCCAGAATGAAGCTGAGCTCGATGGCGCCGATCCACTGCCATGCTCTTAGTCACTTCCGACCAGTATCCCACCACGGACCCACATAACCCTCACCTCGCCTCCTCCCTCTCCCCTCCGACTCACCCCCAGCAGGTGGTCCAGAATGAAGCTGAGCTCGATGGCGCCGATCCACTGGCTCGACCCCACAAACGCCGCCTCCTTGTCGCCTATTTCCACCAGCGCCTGCTGAATGCGCCTGGGGGAGGGGAAGGGGAGGGAAAGGGGAGAGGAGGAAGGGAGTGGGGGGTTGGGGAGGAAGAGAGTGGGGGGTGGGGGAGGGAAGAGGGAAAGAATGCCTCCTTAGCTTCTTCAATTCATTAGTAGGAATTTGAGATGCGGGGATGTATCAAAACTTTGTGCGTGCAGTGCAGGCTGGCACAGCGATTGAGGTGAACTGCTGAATGCGGTTTGAGCCGCGTAAAAAACATGCTGCTTTTGTGAGCTGGCAGGCTGTGTGAGAGGTGCACCGTGCACCTGTGCTGTGGGTCAGGTCAGCACGGCGAGTAGGGCGTACTGCTGAATGTGCTTCGAGCCGTCTTATCACTTACTCTACCTGTGGATTGGCGGTAGTGAGGTGTACCTGTGGGTTGGCACGGGTTGTGAGGTGTATTGCTGAATGCGGAACCATGACACGATGGTCTGCAGTGAGCGATAGGCACAGCCCCAGCCCTGATGACAGCAGGGAAAAACACAGAGGTGACGCAGCGGGGGAGAAGGGAGGGAGACGGAGCGCGAGTCAACGGAAAGAGTTGCAAAGAGAAAGTGATAGGCGCAGCTTAGCCCCATTGCTAGGCCCATCAGGGAGAGGCACGCATGTCCCTGATGGGAAACGGAGAAGAATAGCAAACAAACAGACTCATGCTGATTTTTTAGTCGACTCAAAAGACAAACAGACTCATGCTGATTGGAATGTCATTGTCTTGACTATAGAAGACTCACGCTGTCGTCGATCCTGTCTTGCATTGCATGTAGTGGTAATACTCATATGAGCCCTGCACCAGGTACTGCCTGGACCAGGTACTGCCTAGGTGCCTCATGAGTCAACTCAACAGTCGCCTCGGTTATATGCCACACTACTCACACTCTCAGTGTCCTGATAACCAGGGACTCACGCTGTCGTCGATCCTGTCTTGCATGTAGTGGTAATACTCATATGAGCCCTGCACCAGGTACTGCCTGCACCCTGCAGGGAGAGGGAGAGGCGGTGTGAGGGGGAAGGGAAGGAGAGATGAGCAGTCGAGTCTGAAACAGCCGCGTTGCATATAAAACTGATATGGGTGGGACAGATGAAACTTAGAATTACTTCCCATAAGCATCGTATATATATTTGTAAATGTATACATATGTACAATTATAAATATTATACAGAGAAATTCAATATTGAGGGTGGATCTTCTACCTGCAGAATGAGGCAGACGAGGAAGGCCCACGTGTACATCCCATAATCGCAGACCTGTCAGAAGGCAAGGAGGGGAGGTGGGAGTGGAGTGGAGGGGGGTGGAGAGGGCAAGGTGAGGGGAGAAGGCAAGGGAACCCCCGATGACCCACGTGTACATCCCATAGTCGCAGCCCTGTCAGAGGCAGAGAGGCAGGAGTGGAGCGGGGTGGAGTGGAGGGAGGAGAGGGCCAGGTGAAGGGAGAAGTGAAGGGTGAGGGAGGGGGGATGCGGCATGGGACATCAGCAGAAGCTGCAGAGGCTTTTCAGAAGTGAAATAACAAGGCAAGCCAAGAAGTAACCTGGCACCCACCTTTGGAGGATGCTTGGTTAGCGTCTGGTGCGGCAGGGGGAGCAGAAAGGGAGAGGGACGAGGCAATGCGCAGCATGGGGCGGTCCAGGGGGAGGCCCAGGCGGTGGTGCAGTGTCATGCGCATGTCCACTGCGGTTGGGGGGGGAGTAAAAGGGTTGTCGGGGGAAAGAAAAAGATGGGAAGGGGTATGGAGGGGAGGCATTGCGCAGCATGGGGCGGTCGAGAGGTAGGCCCAGGCGGTGGTGCAGTGTCATGCGCATGTCCACTGCGGTTGGGGGGGGGTAAGAGGGTTGTTGGGGGAAAGAACAAGGTGCGACGGTTAAGGAAGGGGGGGGGTAGACTATAGTGATGTGGCGATGTGCAGGATGGGGGAGTCCAGAAAGAGTCAAGAGGGATACTTCTTGTCAAGAGGGGCTTCTGCTGCCAAGAAGCAGGTCCAACCGGTGGGGCAGGGTCAAGCGTGTGTCCACTGACAGAGGGGAGCGTGGGATTAAGAGGGTGGGAAGGGAGGAAATCACGGCAGGGATGGACAATAGGGATGAGGGCATTGAGCAGCATAGTACGGTGCCGCTGTCTTTGTAAGTGCTCACTCACGCAAGCTGAAGGGCTGTTATGTTTAAATCTGGTTGTTTTTCTCGTTAATCTTCAATAATCTATCAGATGCTGGGGTGCTCCTATATCACCCAGGCTCTGCTGCCCCTCACTCACCCAAGCTCTGCTGCCCCTGCCCATATGTGAAAGGGTAGATGGCAGTGAGAGGGTGTGGGCAGGACGGCAGCACATGAGGGAAGAAAGTAAGGGAATTGTAGCTCGCCTGAGTTGCACTGCACTCACCCAGGCTCTGCTGCCCCTCTCCGTACGTGAGAGGGTAGATGACCGTGAGAGGGTGTGGGCAGGCCGGCAGCACACGAGGGCATAAGGGAAGCAAATTGTTGCTCGCCTGAGTATTACTCACCCAAGCTCTGCTGCCCCTCTCCGTACGTGAGAGGGTAGATGACAGTGAGTGGGTGTGGGCAGGACGGCAGCAGGAAGTGGTATGCCCCGAACTGAAGCACGTGGGGGAGGGGAGGGAAGGGAGGAACGCAGGAGAAGGGGGGAAGATGGAGGGGAAGGCGGAATGGGGGTGTTTTTTAGTCGACTCAAAAAAAGGCGGAATGGGGGTGTGAGAAGTGCATCTGTGAGCAAACGGAGGAGGAGGAGAAGAAGAAGAAGAGAAAGGGAATGTGGGAGTGGGACGACCTCAATTCCTGGCTGGAAAGAAATTGCTAAACGATTCAGTAGCAAGAAATTGGTGCACGAAACGAAGGGAGGGGGCAACGGGTAGGAAGGGGTGTGCTGGGGAGGAGGAGGAGAGGCGGGAGGCGTAAGGGGAGGTTGAGTTGAGGGTATAAGCTGCTTACTTTCAGTCCTAGCTGGAACGAAACGGCTGAAGCTGCTTCCTTTGCTGCTCCCCCTGCTGCTTCCCCTGCTGCTCCTATCCAATCCGTACTTGTTGCTCCTGCCCCCTTCCCAGGCTTACCCTCCTCCTCGCCTCTCCTCCCCCCCTCACCCTCCTGTCTCCCGTCACCCCTGTCCCCCACCATCCACTCGATTGCCTTGACTTGCCGCAGCAGCCCCGGCACAACGAGACGACGCACCGCCGCCCGGAGAGACAGCTGCTGAGGGGCGAAGACGAGGGTGCTCAGGGACAGGCTTATCTGGTGCAGGTGGATGCTGGGGGCGGCTGGGGGGAAGAACAGCGGGCCCGGAGGAGAAAAAAGAGGGTGAGGATAACCTTTGAGTCATCTGGGGAGCTGATTCTTGAGTCGTCTAAACAATCAGCTCAGGGATGGGCTTATTTGGTGGGGGTGGATGCTGGGGCAGCTGAGCAGGAGAACAGGGGGGTGCGACAACTAAGAGGGCGAGAAGAGACTTTCCAAGACGTCTCAAAAGCTCAGGGACAGGCTTATCTGATGCAGGTGGATACCGGCGAAAGCTGAGAAGGAGAAAACGAGAAAGAGAGTCGTCCTCACCCGGGGTGTAGCTGAGGCCAACAGATGCACCGTTCTGCCCTGCAGATGCTGACGTGGCGGGTGGTGATTGGTTGAGCAGCAGAGAGACACGTATGGTTGACGCCAGCTGTGAGCCATCAGCGAGTGAGCAGCAAATGATAGGGAAGAGGAGGGCGGGAGGGTGAGTGGCATGATGGGAGAGCAGGAGAGAGAGAGGGGTAAAGCCAGCCCAACATACACCAACATCAGTACTGTACTCCTTGCTTAATTCGACTTTGAGTCAACTGAAAAGTCAACAGAGCCAACATCAGCAACATCAGCACCAACACCACCACCAACACCAGCAGCAACATACTCTTTTTGAGGCTATCGTCTCTCCTCTTCCTCCTCCCCCTCCTCCCCCACCACCAGCGACCCCCTTTCCCCCTTTCCCTTTCGCACCTCCCCCTTTTCCTCCCCCATCTCCTCCTCCTCCCCCCTTTCCCCCTCCCCCTTCTGCTGACGTCAGCAGATCACCACACACCATTCCCTCTGCGGTCCCCCCACCCTCCCTGCCACGTGTCACGCTGCCAATGGCTCCTGAGGCTCTTCCGTTTGGCAGAGAGCCAATCAGGATCGGCCGCACCGCTCCTGCAGCGGCGCTGGCACCTGACGCTGAGCTGGCAGCTGCTGACGTGGCAGCGGAGGGCGGTTGCGGTGGGTGCAGCAACCACAGGGCGTGAGGGCTGATGACGTCAGCTTGGATGGCAGAGAGAGATGCGGATATTGACGATGATAAGGCTGGCGAGGTGTGTATGTGGAGGGGATGGGGGGAGAGAAAGGGGAGGGGGGGAGGGGGGGGAGGAGGGGAGGGGGGGAGGTTGGGCAGGGGGTAAGGGAGAGCAGGAAGAAGTGGAGGTGGGGGGAAGGGGAGGACAAGGGGGAGGAATCGGGGGTATTGGAATGAAGTGGCGTGTGAGGCAAGGTGGAGTGGGTGACGAAGCGGCAGGGAGAGCATGAGGAAGAGGGAGGAGGGACGGGAGGAGACGCAGGAGTGGAAGAGAGGCGGAACAGTGGGTTCAAAGGATGAGGGCAAAGGACTGTTGAGTCGACTAAAAAAGTGTGGGAGGAGTGAGGGAGGGAGGGGTGGCGAAGGAATGGCGGAAGAATGGCGGAGGAATGAATACACTGAGTTGTGGGATGAAGAGCGGGCCGAAGCTCACTCACTCTGCTTGTCGTGGGTGAACAGTGGCAGGGTGGCTGCCACGTCACACACCAGCGGGCAGTGCGCCGCCCAAAACTCCTCCTCCAGCCGATTACCCTCCCCACCAGTAGCACCACTCGCACCACTAGCACCACTAGCCGCACTAGCAGCACCATCTCCCTTACCCCCTTGACCCTCCACCACCTCTACCTCCACGTCAGCATTCTCACCCTCCTCCTCCGATTTAAGCTCCCATGCCACATCAGCTTCACTCTCTTCTCTTTGCTTGTCGTCTCTCCTTCCCTCCTTTCTGCCGTCCTCCTCATCTCCCTCACTCTCCAACCCTATCCGTTCCCGTTCCTCATCTTTCCACGTGCTTTCTGTGATATCCTGTCCCCACCAATCAGCAGCTGCCACGTCACCTCTTCTCAACTCAATTCCCGCCACTAGGGATATTCTCGAAGGGATTCTACCAGTACCGATAGAGTCATTCGTCCACGTCACAATGAACGGCCGGCGCGCCAATGCCACGTCATGGAAGATTCGCCGAAATTCGGCAATCGGCTCCCGTATAAGCGCCTGATTTTCCAGGGTAAACTCCCCTCTCACCGCAACTCCGACAACTGTGAGTCCTCCAGGAAGCAGCGGCAAAAGAGCTCGCGCCTCGGACTTGGCGACGTCGCCTTTGTCTCCGCGCTGCTGGACTGCGACGTCCCTGAATCGCGGGTCTACGAGGATGCAAGAGAGAACGGAGCAGGAAGGGCGCGGGTCGCGAGATGAGAAGTAAGACGCTGACGGGCCAACTAACCAGCCGAGAATCACGGGTGAGGACGACTCGCTCGGCGAATTAAATACGGCGCGCGGTTCCTTTAAAATGGTGGATCGGAGCGACGTGATCACCTGCTCGTGCAGGCGAACTACGGCAGCCATGGCGGCAGCCCTTGTGCTGTTGTTGTTTGCAGGTCGATTATGTTTAGTTGGGGATGATGAGATTCATGATCAATGCGGCTTGATAAGATCCTTTGCGTGGCAGAGCGGTCGGTTTACATTCTAAAGCGGTTTGAGTACAATCTGACTCGTTTCCAGCCAGAGCTAATCCCTGATGAAGTGCACGAGGATACTGGTAACCGAATTTGTGCGACTTCTACATGGCTATACTGGCGAAGACAAAAACGGCTGCGACTGCAAGTGCGAAATAAATCAAGGGACACATGACAGAATAGGCGGTTGACGCGACAACATCCAGGTTTGTGTGACAAAATCAAGGTGGGCAAAAGAGCTGTTGTGCCAGCCGGGAATCGAACCCGGGTCTGCACCGTGCTGACATGGCAGGGTGCTATTCTACCACTAGACCACTGGCACTCATTTGGTGTCGATGTGTCTGGCATGAAAGTTTATGAACAATAACCGTTTAGTTGTCGTAAGGCTGTGACCCACTCTGCTTTCGTCCTCTTGAATTTCTCGTTTCAGCCACTTCTGACCACGTCAAAGGCGTTCAAATCTATCAGTAGCTTCTTTCAGACGTTTCCAGGGCTCCGGATTATTTTCATCTGCCTTGTCTTAGCTCCTTGGCTCCTTAGCTTCATCTGACTTGACTCGCACGGTTGGCCATGGCGCGTCGCGACGACAAGAAGCGACGAAAGCGAGACGACTCGGACAGCGAGGATTCAGACGAGCGCAGGAGACGGAGCAGAAAGAGCCGGAAATCGCGGAAGGACAGCGACGATGACGATTCTAACGAGGATGCGTCCGCGTCAGACTCCGACGGCGATCGCGGCCGCAATCGCAAACGCCGGAGCCGCGGAAGCCGGAAAAAGAAGCAGGGCGGTGACTCTAGCGAGAGTGACGATAGCAGTCAGAGCCGAAGCCGCAGCAGGAGCAGAAGCAGGGGACGGAGCAAAAAGGGCAAGAAAGACAAAAAAGAACGGAGAGAGAAGAGCAAGCGGGATTCGCGCCGGCGACGCCGGGAACGGTCGGACTCGGAGGGATCGGAGAGTTCTGGTGGTAGTAGCGGGAGTGATAGTAGCGAGGGGAGTCCGTCGCGTGGCGGGAAGAAGGTCTCGGAGGAGGAACTGAGGGAGTTTTTGGCGAAACGCGCGCAGAAGAAGGCGCTGAAGCTGGCGAAGAAGCTCAAGCCGAACGCGGTGTCGGGTTACACCAACGACAGTAACCCGTTTGGGGATACAAACCTTACTGAAACGTGAGTTGTCGTCTACTTTTGAGGCGCCTCAAAAGCTCAAGCCGAACGCGGTGTCGGGTTACACGAACGACAGTAACCCGTTCGGCGACACGAACCTCACTGAAACGTGAGTGTAGAGTTTTAAGAGACGCTGAGAGCACGAGTTTTGAGCTGTAGGAAACAGGGATTTGTGCGTCAGGATGGGGTGAGGGGGCAGGGCACGACAGGATGTGGTGAGGGAACACTATTGGCAAGGTATACGCCTGTTCATGCAAGGTATTTTTCTACCCTATACCCTGCCTATCGCTTTTGGCGTGCAGGCTTGTGTGGTGCAAGAAGGTCAAGAACAACGTGCAGCGAGGCACTCCTTTAAGAGCAGGCACCCACCCATGCCCCTTCCTACCCCTCCCTCCTTCTCCTCCCCGCTCCCTCCCTCCCTCTGTGCACGCAAGTTCGTGTGGTGCAAGAAGATTGAGAAGGATCTGCTGCGAGGCACGATTGCAGTGGTGCTGGTTGGGTCGCTTGCACTTACATGCAGTCCGGCTGCTGTAACGGTTGTAACCTAACCCCCTATCTACCCCTCCGCGCGCAGGTTAGTGTGGCGCAGGAAGATAGAGAAGGACGTGCTGCGAGGCACGCTGGACCCGCACCCACCCATGCCCCCCTCTTCCCCTCCCGCATCCCTTCGTCCCTCTGTGCTATGTATCCATCTATCCACCATCTCTTTGTCCGCATGTTCGTGTGGCGCAAGAAGATAGAGAAGGACGTGCTGCGTGGCACGCTGGACCCGCGGGAAATCACCCTGCAGAACGAGAGGAAGCGCCTCGAGGCCCGCATGGTGGGTCTGCTGCTGCTGCTGCTGCTGCTGCTGGATTGATAAAATAGTTCATTGCATTTTGGCGTCTTGGGTCACTTGCACTGCCTGCCGTTCAGCTCATCCATTCTTAAAAAACCACGTGCGCATTTTTAGTACCTTGATACCTTTTCTTTGCTGCACCGCCTGCACTGCCTGCCCGCACCTGGATTGTCTTGTCTGCCTGCGTGCCTGTGTGTGAGCAGGAGGAGATTGAGAAGGTGAAGAAGCGGCGCGAGGAGAGGATGCTGGAGAAGGCACAGCACGACGAAGAGATGGTGAGTGGTGGAGTGGGGAGAGAAGGTGTGAATCCTGGAACGGTTTTCCTGTGCTTACTTCCCGTTTCTCCCCTTGTGTGGACATGTGCTTACGTGCTAGTTCCTGCTGGCTCGTAGTGTCGTTACTCTGGAGGTCTACGTGACGTTTGACACTTGAGTTGACTCAAAAGTGATTTTCAAGTCAAGTTTAAAAGGTCAATGACGTTCGTAATGCAGCTTCTGTGTGTCTGTGCCTGTCTGTCTTTCTGTGCCACTGTGCCTGTGTGCCTGTGTGCGTGTGCGTGTGCGTGTGCGTGTGCGTGTTGTGTTGCGTTGCTGTTGCAGGCCATGCTGGCACGTGAGAGGGCTCGAGCTGAGTTCCAAGACTGGGAGGAGAAGGAAGACGAGGTACTGCATCTCTCTCGCGCACTCACTTACACATGCACACACTCACTCTCATACAGGCACAGCACACACGCACACACACACACACGCTCACTCTCACTCTGAGCATAACTGTTTTCGCTCAGAGATCCATCGGAGGAAGTGGCGGCTTCCCACTCTCTTTCTCTCTCGCCTTAGTGCCGTCGCTCCTTGCCGCTCCTCCATCCTCTCACGCCCTCTCACCCTTTCCCACCCCCTTTCACCCCCTCTCTCCCGTCTCAGTTCCACTTTGAGCAAAGCCGAGTGCGATCGGAGATTCGACTGAGGGAGGGCCGAGCGAAGCCTATCGACGTGCTGGCGAGGAATCTGACTCTCTCTGGCGACTTTGACATCGAGGTCAACGAGCCGTACAAGATCTTCAAGGTGGGTTGGGGGCTCTGTGTGTGTGGGGGGGGGGGGGGGGGGTGGGGGGTGGGTGGAAACCAAAGGTCAAGGATACCATTGAGTTGGCGTGCTGGCCTGGCACCTCACTCTCTCAGGCGACTTTGACATCGAAGTCAACGAGCCGTACAAGATCTTCAAGGTGGGGTGGGGTGTAGGATAAGGGTTTGGGTTAAGGCACTGAAACAGGGTGATCATAGTAGTGGGATTCTCACGCTGTCTGGCGACTTTGACATTGAGGTCAACGAGCCGTACAAGATCTTCAAGGTGGGCTGGGGGCTCTGTGTGTGTGGGGGGGGGGGGGGGGGGGGGGTGGGTGGAAACCAAAGGTCAAGGATACCATTGAGTTGGCGTGCTGGCGAGGAACCTCACGCTCTCAGGCGACTTTGACATTGAGGTCAACGAGCCGTACAAGATCTTCAAGGTGGGACTCTGGGTTCTGCGAGTTTGAAAGGTGGGGTCGGTGCATGCGTCGTCACGGTTGTCACTTTTGCAGGTGGCGAGCTCTTCTCGTCTCGTCTCGTGGGTGGTTGGTTGATAGCCCCTTGTCATCGGACTGCTTCTTGTCCTTCATGTGCCCCTTATGTGTGTGTGCTGTCATGTCATCCCTCGCAGGGTCTGACAGTGAAGGAGATGGAGCAGCTGAAGGAGGACATCAAGATGCATCTCGAGTTCATCTCTTGTGTGTGGTTGCCCCTTGTTCATATGTGTGTGTGTGCTGTGTGTGTGCGTGTCTCTGTTGTGCGTGCATGTTTGTATCATCCTTTGCAGGGTCTAACGGTGAAGGAGATGGAGGAGTTGAAGGAGGACATCAAGATGCACCTCGAGTTCGTCTCATGTGTGGTTCCTCCTTGTTCATTGTGTGTGTGCGTGTGCGTGCGCGTGCGTGGTTTCATCGCTTCCAGGGTCTGACGGTGAAGGAGATGGAGGAGCTAAAGGAGGACATCAAGATGCACCTCGAGTTTGACCGCAACAACCCCATGCACCAGGAGTTCTGGAAGGTACAGAGGGGTTCTGGCAGATGCAGGGGGGTTCTGGAAGGTACAGAGGGGTTCTAGATGGTACTTGGGGCGGGTGGTTATTGTTATTGTTCTAGAAGGTGCAGAGGGGTTCTGAACGGTGCAGGGGAGTGATGAAGGTGCAGAATCACCGTAAGTGGTTCATAGGATGAAGGTGGGTCTGGCTGGTTTCATGCTTGTGTGCATCAATGCGGATGGCACGAGATAGCATCAACTGGCTTGCCGTCCCCATTAATGGGACGGGACCTTTTCATCCGTCACCCTCATTTCTCTCCCCATCCCTTCCTCTCCTGCCCCCCCGCCCTCCCACCCTCCTGCCCCGCTCACGCCCGCCCCTTCCCAGGCAATGATGGTGGTGTGCAATCACGAGATAGCAGAGACGACCAGAAGAGACATAATCGACCGAGCGAGAGTGAGGGGAGAGGAGCCCCCAGCAGACGTTTTAGAAGAAGAGAGAGGCCTGCACTCAGCAGTCGGGGCAGACGTGGCCGAAACTCTCGCTGTTGCGGGCAGCGAGGAACTTTCGCGCATGGAGGAGCGGATCGCCGGGCAGATGGAAACGGGCGGAGCAAAAGTTGTCGAGTACTGGGAGGCTGTGCTGAAAAAGCTAAAGGTTTTCAAGGCGAAGGCGCGACTGAGGGAGATTCATGCGGATCTGCTGAGGCAGCATCTGGCTCTGCTGGAAACGGGAGGGGTGGCGAGAGGGGAGGGAGGGGGAGAGGAGGGAGGGGAAGGGAGAGGGGGAGGGAGAGGAGGGGAAGGGCGCGGATGGGAGGAGGAAGAGGAGGAGGTTGGTGGTGGTGCTGCTGGTGGTGGCGGTGGTGGTAGTGGAGGGGGAGGAGGAGAGGAGAGAGAGCCTGGGTCGTTTTCGCCTGAGTTGTTGACAATGGAAGAAGCAGCTAAGGAGGGGTATAAGGAGGGGGGAGAGGGAGCAGCGGGAGGGGGAGGAGGAGGAGGCGCGGAGGGAGGGTTTTCGCCCGAGCTGATTCACACGTATGAGGTGGATGGGACGGACGTGGTTGACCCTGAGGCAGACAAGAGGGAGCTGGTGAGTGGATGTGGATGCAAAGTGGTTTGATGCAGTGTGGTTAAGCAGGTGATGGGTGGGGACAGGTGAGGTGGGAGAAAACACTGAGGGGAGCTGGGAGGCGGCAGGTGGTGAGTTGATTGATTCACACGTATGAGGTGGATGGGACGGATGTTGTTGATTGACCCTGAGGCGGACAGGAGGGACTGGTGAGTGAATGTGGATGGAGTGTGGTTGGAGGGGTGATGGGTGGGGTGCAGGTGAGGTGGGAGCGAGAGAGAGCACTGAGTGAAGTTGGGAGCTGGGAGGTGGTGAGTTGGTTGATTCACACGTATGAGGTGGATGGGACGGACGTTTTTTTATTGACCCTGAGGCGGACAGGAGGGAACTGGTGAGTGAATGTGGATGGAGTGTGGTTGGAGGGGTGATGGGTGGGGTGCAGGTGAGGTGGGAGCGAGAGAGAGCACTGAGTGAAGTTGGGAGCTGGGAGGTGGTGAGTTGGTTGATTCACACGTATGAGGTGGATGGGACGGACGTTTTTTTATTGACCCTGAGGCGGACAGGAGGGAACTGGTGAGTGAATGTGGATGGAGTGTGGTTGGAGGGGTGATGGGTGGGGTGCAGGTGAGGTGGGAGCGAGAGAGAGCACTGAGTGAAGTTGGGAGCTGGGAGGTGGTGAGTTGGTTGATTCACACGTATGAGGTGGATGGGACGGACGTTTTTTTATTGACCCTGAGGCGGACAGGAGGGAACTGGTGAGTGAATGTGGATGGAGTGTGGTTGGAGGGGTGATGGGTGGGGTGCAGGTGAGGTGGGAGCGAGAGAGAGCACTGAGTGAAGTTGGGAGCTGGGAGGTGGTGAGTTGGTTGATTCACACGTATGAGGTGGATGGGACGGACGTTTTTTTTATTGACCCTGAGGCGGACAGGAGGGAACTGGTGAGTGAATGTGGATGGAGTGTGGTTGGAGGGGTGATGGGTGGGGTGCAGGTGAGGTGGGAGCGAGAGAGAGCACTGAGTGAAGTTGGGAGCTGGGAGGTGGTGAGTTGGTTGATTCACACGTATGAGGTGGATGGGACGGACGTTTTTTTATTGACCCTGAGGCGGACAGGAGGGAACTGGTGAGTGGCATGCGAATGGAAGGGGCATTCAGGGATGTGGGATGACGTTCCATACTTCAGATACGAGCTGGTAAGAGTGATTCCAGGGGCCGTCGCTAGTGAAACTATTACGCTTATAAAAGCATTACGCTTTTAAAACTGTTAGGCTTGTGAACCATTATGCTTGTAGAACTATTACCCACTTCTCTGCCATTCCCTCGCTCCTCCCCGTCCTCCTTATCTTCGCTCCAGGAACGTAAGAGGGCTCAAATTCAGGCAGACCGGCAGCGCAGCGTCCTGGAAGCTTCCGGCGCTGGTGGTGGTGACGTCAGTGCAGCAGAGAGGGCTCTGGTGGTTAGGGCGCCTGCTGACGTGGCAGCAGCAGGGGATCGCCAGCTCAGCACGGCGGAGAAGGCTGCTGCCAATAAGATGATGGGGCAGGATCCTGGTGATGTGGCGTTTGGTGCAGGGGCAGAGGTGCCTCTTGAGACTCAGGTGAGAAGACAGGTGGAAATTCAGGTGAGAAGTCAGGTGGAAATTCAGGTGAGAAGTCAGGTGGAAACTCAGGAGAATTCAGGTGGAGACTCAGGTGAGAAGTCAGGACAGGTGGAGACCCAGACCAGACTTCAGGTTGGTACTCAGGTGAAACTTCATCTTTCCATTCAAAATAGCAGCATCAGCTGTGTGTGACAGCGAGCACAGCGAGCAGCAGCACCGCCAGAACCTGCTGCAGTCGCTCCTGCCGCTCCTCCTCCAGCTGCTGCTCTAACAGCAGCTTCTGGCGGTGCTGCTGCTCGCTGTGCTCGCTGTCACACACAGCTGATGCCGCTTCTCCCACCTCTGGTCCTAGTGCTTCTGGCCGTAATAATATATTTGGATCCGATTTCCCCTTCCCTTCGTCTCCCCCTCGGGTCTACATGTGCGTCAGGTGTACTGGTGGCACGACAAGTACCGGCCGCGCAAGCCCAAGCATTTTAACCGAGTGCACACGGGGTACGAGTGGAACAAGTACAACCAGACCCACTACGACCACGACAACCCGCCGCCCAAGATCGTGCACTCACTGTCAATCCCATCCCCCCCATCCGGGTCTCCCCTCCCCTCTTCCCCTCTTCCTCCTCCATACCCCCTTCCGCTCTCCCTCTCGCTCCTCCCCGTTCCCCTCTCCTTCCTCCCCCTCCTGTTCTCTCGCCATGCTTCAGGTGTACTGGTGGCACGACAAGTACCGGCCGCGCAAGCCCAAGTATTTCAACCGAGTGCACACGGGGTACGAGTGGAACAAGTACAACCAGACCCACTACGACCACGACAACCCGCCACTCTGAATCCTGATTCTCTTCATCCGTATCTCCCTCCTTCCCCTCTCCCCTCCCTCGCTCCCCTTCCCGCTCCCGTCCATTTCCCCCCCTCTCCTTCCCTGGGGGTCGACCCTACCTTTGTGCATCAGGTGTACTGGTGGCACGACAAGTACCGGCCGCGCAAGCCCAAGTATTTCAACCGAGTGCACACGGGGTACGAGTGGAACAAGTACAACCAGACCCACTATGACCACGACAACCCGCCGCCCAAGATCGTGCAGGGATACAAGTTCAATATCTTCTACCCGGATTTGATTGACCGCTCCAAGCCGCCCAGCTATCACATTGACAAGGACGGCAGCGAGGACGGCGAGACTTGTCTCATTCGCTTCCACGCCGGCCCGCCCTATGAAGACATTGTGAGTAGCTCTCCTTGTTATACCCAGTACTTTCTTTTGTGTGCTTGTTTTTTATATTTAGTTGTATATTTTAGATAAATGTCATATATCATCATTTTCTCCATCCAATCGTTTTCAATGACTTCTTTTTTTCTTCACATTTGCTCTCTACCCCCCGTCTGGCAGGCATTCCGCATAGTGAACAAGGAGTGGGAGTACTCACACAAGAAGGGCTTTAAGTGCACGTTCGAGCGCGGCATTCTGCACGTCTACATCAACTTCAAGCGCCACCGCTACCGCCGATAGGCTCTGTTACTATGTTGTGGAGGCTTGTTGTCTACTTTTGAGGCGCCTCAAAAGTTGGGCTCTGTTACTATGTTGTGGAGGCTTGTTGTGTCGGCGTGTTGCCTGTGGTGGGGTGTGTGCTATGCGAACGGCACAGTTGAGTGTGGCACTCTTACTGCTGCTACCTCTACTGCTGAGAGGCTCTGTCACGCTGTGCAGGCTTGTCGTGCCTTGTTGCTTGTGGTGGGGCAAGGTTGTCGCTCACGCTAACGACACGTTCGAGCGAGGCATTCTGCGTGTTTACATCAACTTCAAGCGCCACCGCTACCGCCGATAGGCTTTATTGGACTGTGGAGGGGCTTGTTGTGTCTTGCTGTTCCCTGTGTAGGCACTGTTATGCCCCGGACGTCTTGTGTGTTACGGTGTTAACAGTGTTATGGCATGCTTGAATGCGGGGCTTCTGTACATTCACATCAACTTCAAGCACACCCACCGCTATCACTGATGCAGTTACGTTTCTGCTGTGGAAGCTTGACTTGTCGCTACTGCCGATTAGCGCTGTCATGTCACGCTGTGGATACTGGTTGTCTAACCGAACCAAACTAGGTACGGTCCCGTGATTGAGTCGAACCATAGAAGGTTCAATCGAAACGACCCCGACCTTTTTTGGTTGTTCAGGTCTTTGCTCATGCCTACTGTCTGTCACATCTGTGAACCTCCTTGCAAGAATGCTCAGTACAATGAAGGTGCCTGCCTGCACGATTTTGCGCCTTTGCACCTCAAAATCCAGTGAAGTTGTTTTGCAACTCACCTCCTGTGCCACTGAAATACCCTCCTTCTCTACCCTCCTATCCTCCTACCCTCCTACCCTCCTACCCTCCTGCCCTCCTTCCTCCCAACCTCATGTACCACAGCCTGTTTGTCAAGACGAGGCCTTACTAGCGTCCATGAGTTTCACCCTTCTGAATTCCTCTCCCGCATTCCCCCCCGTGCCTGCATTCACGCCTCTCCCCGCGCATTCCTCCTCGCCTCCAGCACCTCTTCAGCAGAAGCAGCCATCAGCATGCAGAAAGCACGTTAATTATGAAATGCATTGACGCTGCCCCACGCTTCTACACTACCCCTACCTCCCCCTTCCTCGCATCCCTTACGCCTCTCCTCTGGCCTTCCGCCTCGCCTCCAGCACCTCTTCAGCAGAGGCAGCCATCCGCCGGTGGAAAGCAACCATCTCCTCCAGCTCGCTCGTGTGCAGCGCTTCCAGTGCCACTGCCCCGTGCTTCGGTGCTCTTAGCGCCCCACTCTCACATCTACTAGATCTCACCCTTTCCCCCACTAAGGTCACTACGCCTCGCCCCTCGCCTTCCGCCTTGCCTCCAGCACCTCTTCAGCGGAAGCAGCCATGTGCCGGTGGAAAGCCACCATCTCTTCTAGCTCACTCGTGTGCAGCGCCTCCAGTGCCGCCCGCGCTGCCGACCGCTGGTTTCGTCTCCGTTCAAGCTCGTCTTTGATGTGGGATGCGTTGCGCACTGTAGCACCCACCTGGGATAGCCGCTCCACCTGCTGCCCTGACAGGGGCGTGAGCTCCTGGAGGGGAGGAGGGAGGGAGAGAAGAAAGAGGAAGAAGGAAGGAAACTTGAACCAGGGGAGAGGTGTTTTCAAGCTCGTCTTTGATGTGGGACGCGCTTGCGCACTGTAGCGCCCACCTGGGATAGCCGCTTCACCTGCTGCCCTGACAGGGGCGTGAGCTCCTGTAGAGGAGGGCGGAGGGAGGAGGGAGGGGGGAGGAGAGAGGATAGTACAAATACGTAGGTGCTTCAAGTTGAAACGTGTAGTAGTTTTTCACTTCTTCCGAGCCTCGCGTAGCACACGGTAGCACGAGCCTGTCACCCAGAAGAACAAGCCTCGCACCTGGAGAAACGAGGCCCCAATCGCCAGCTCCTGCTTCTCCTCTGGCAGCGTCGGCAGCCCGCCAAACCCTCCCAGTCCTCCCGCTGAACCCCCCGCCTGCTCTCTCCTTATGGCAGCGTGAGCCGAGGACCCGCCTTTCTCCGTGGCGTTACGGCGCAGCACCACCCTCTCCTCGTACACCACCTTGGCCGCGTGGATGAAATCCCCGTGGGCCCGATACCACTGACTGACGAACAAACCTCAAGGGAACACTAGAAGAACGAGCCTCTCACCTTGAGGAACGAGGCTCCGATTGCCAGAGCCTGCTTCTCCTCTGGCAGCGTCGGCAGCCCGCCAAACCCTCCCAGTCCTCCCAGCCCACCAGCCGACCCGCCCGCCTGCTCTCTTCTAATGGCCGCAAGCGCCGAGGACCCGCCCTTCTCCGTGGCGTTACGGCGCAGCACCACCCTCTCCTCGTACACCACCTTGGCCGCGTGGGTAAAAGCCTCCTTGTGGCCTCGCTCCCAATACCACTTACTCTCACACAGAACCTTAGAGAAAACACCGCTCTCACCTTGAGGAAAGAGGCCCCGATCGCCAGCTCCTGCTTCTCCTCTGGGAGCGTCGGCAGCCCTCCAAACCCACCCGCAGACCCCCCGCCTGCTCTCTCCTAATAGCCGCAAGCGCCGACGATCCTCCTTTCTCCGTGGCGTTGCGGCGCAGCACCACCCTCTCCTCGTACACCACCTTGGCGGCGTGGAAGCTCTTCTGAATGCGCAGCCGCCGCCGCTCCAGCTCCTCCTCCCACTCCCTCCCCTGCTTCTGCTGCTGCTGCTGCTCTGCTTGCGCTTCTGCCGCCGCCGCTGCCGCCGCCGCCGCTGCTGCTGCCGCCCCAGGCGTTTTCCCACTGGCTGAACCCACCCCTGCCACTGCCCCTGCCCCTGTGCCTCCTCCCATGCTGCTTCCTCCTGTCGCTCCTGCTTCTCCTGCTCCTGATTGGGTTAGAGCGACCATGCCAGTGGCCAGGCTGTCAGTTGCATCGGCGGCAGCATCAACTGCTGCGATGGCGGCTGCAGCAGCGCCAGCGATGCTGGTGGGCGGGGCTGTGAGGGCGGCTGGCCGGGGGATTCTTGGCCGCACCTTGCGTTCGTATGCCACCACTGCTGCCACAAACTCCTGAGTGAGGGAATGAGGGAGGGAGTGAGGGAGCGAGTAAAGTGAGTGAGTCAGTGAGGGAGGGACTCTTGGCCGCACCTTGCGCTCGTATGCCACCACTGCTGCCACAAACTCCTGAGGGAGGGAATGGGAGAGTGAGTAAGGGAGGAAAGGAGTGAAACCGTGCCATTTCCTCTTGTCGCTCCAGCCTCTCCTGCCGGTGCATCAGCGGCAGCATCAACTGCTGCGATGGTGGATGCTGCCACAAACTCCAGAGTGAGGGAGTGAGGGAGGGAGTGAGTAAGTGAGTGATGCCCCATGGGACACTCAACTAGGTCCATGCAATCACACACAAATTTGGCGAACCCAAGGGCCCACAGAATGACACCACCAGCAGCAGCAGAACAAGAAGCAGGATAAGCAGAAGAACCCGCACCTGGTACGCTCTAGGGCACTCAAGGTACTCGAACACATGTTAAGAGCACAACGCAAGTGGAGCACCAGAAGAACCCGCACCTGGTACGCCCTGGGGCACTCGGGGTACTGAAAGACCTCTCTAGGCAAGCCGGAGCCTCCCCCAGGCGCCACCTCCCCGTCCTGGAAGCGCCTCATGCGCTCCGGGTGGAACTGCAGCCCCACAAAGAAGCCCCCTCGCGGCGGGCAGTGCACGTCCGGGTCGTAGAAGGCTTCAATCAGCCCGTCTGCTGCAAACGCCATGGGGCGGAACCGGGAGGCGAGCACCCGCACGCCCTGGTGTCGGGGGAGGGGAAGGGGAAGAGGACGGGCAGTGCAAGTTGGGGGTGTGAAAGGCCTATCATCTTTTGAGGACTCCCATAAGTGGCACTGGGGTTGTAGAAGGCCTTTCGGCAACCGTTATCTCTCAACCCACTGACCTGGTAGTGCTGGTAACCTGTACCCTCTCACCCTCTCAAGTGCACACCTGGTGATGGTAGCTGTTGACGAGCAGCTCGTTCTCCCCCGTGGCCTCACGGCTCTTCTCCAGCGACCCCTCAAACCATTCCGCCAGTGGCGTGTCCGGAACCACGAAGATGGGGTGGCGATGCCCGTCTGGGGTGGGAGGGTGTTGGAGGAGAAGAGGGATATGGAAGAGAGAAGGTGCTTGCTTCTCCAGCGACCCCTCAAACCACTCCGCCAGCGGCGTCTCCGGCACCACGAAGATGGGGTGCCGATGCCCATCTGGGGTGGGAGGAGGTGAGAGGAGAGGAGAGGTTGCGGTGAGAGGAGAGGAATGGGAGAGGGAGGGTGCTTGCATCTCCAGCGACCCCTCAAACCACTCCGCCAGCGGCGTCTCCGGCACCACAAAGATGGGGTGCCGATGCCCGTCTGGGGTGTGGAAAGGGACGGGAGGAGAGGAGAGATATGGGGAAGCAGAGGTAACCTGAATTTCCAGCGACCCATCAAACCACTCCGCCAGTGGCGTTTCCCGCACCACGAACATGGGGTGCCGATGCCCATCTGGGGTTCCGGGTTTTGATGGGAGGGGGCGAGAGGAGGGAGAAGATACAGGAGGAAGTGGGAGCACTCAAAGAACCATTTAGGAGCAATTCGAGAGCCATTCAAGAATGGTTCCTGAGTCACCAAGAATCATTCGAAGCACCACAACGACGGGACGGGACGCTCGTGCCCGTCTGTAACAGGAAGTGATCGAAAAGACAGGAGAGACTTGGAAGAGCGGAGAGGAGAGATGTGGAGGAAGAATGGAGCTTGGGTTACTGAGAAGCCCTCTTCACTTTTCGTGTTCATGTGCAACAAGTCTGTTTGTTGTGAGAACCTCAGAACACACACACACACACACACACACACACACACACACACAAACACACACAAACACACCCACGCACTCACACACACACAACATTCCTGTTCTGTCTCTCACCATAGTCACTGTAGTCAATGTGCTTCAAGTCCAGGCCATTTCTGAGGCGCCTCAGAGTTTGTTTTTTCTTCTCTGTCCTGTTCTGTGTCTCACCATAGTCATTGTAATCGATGTGCTTCAAGTCGAGGCCCTTGCGTGATGTGACCTCCGCCTCACACACGCACACACGCACACACGCACGTACGCACACCCACACACACACGCACGCACTCACGCACACACACCATTCCTGTTCTGTCCCTCACTATAGTCATTGTAGTCGATGTGCTTCAAGTCCAGGCTCTTGCGCGATGTGACCTTCGTCTCTCACACACACAACACACACACCCAACACACACGCACACACTCACTCTCACACACACACACCCCATACCTTGTTCTATCTCTCACGCTCTCACCATAGTCATTGTAGTCGATGTGCTTCAAGTCCAGCCCCTTGCGCGATGTGACCTCCGTCTCACACACACACACGCACACACGCACGCACACACACACACACACACACACAGACACACACACACACACACACACACACACACGCACGCACCATTCCTGTTCTGTCTCTCACCATAGTCATTGTAGTCGATGTGCTTCAAGTCCAGGCCCTTGCGCGATGTGACCTCCGCCTCACACACGCACACACGCACACACGCACGCACGCACACACACACACACACCCACGCACTCACACACACACAACATTCCTGTTCTGTCTCTCACCATAGTCATTGTAGTCAATGTGCTTCAAGTCCAGGCCCTTGCGCGACGTGACCTCCGTCTCCACGTCCTGATGGTGACGCACACAGGGGCACGACGAGGGGTCGGGGAGGTAGGGGAGACAGGGGAGGGGAGGATGGGGAGGACAAGGAGCGATTGCACGAGCAGGCAGAAAAGGGTCATCTCATCTGTCACTAAAATCCGAGAATTTGGTAACTATCCAATCCAATCAAAGGGTTCTGTAACAGTGTTCCCCGGAATGGGCATGAATCCGGCGAGAGTGAGTACCTGGTAGAGAGATCATCCGAATGCTTGACTTAGCCTTTAATTAAAACCATCCAGAGGCGCATTGAATCTGGAAAGAGATATAATAACAGGTCCATTGTAGGTCTGGTCTGAGAGATACGGATGGGGTACCAGGTAGAGGGATCCTCCTGACGCCACATTCAGCACTTGGCTCCCGCGGCAAATCCCAAGGTACAGAATCGACTGCTCCAGGAACTTCTGTTCTTTTAGGCCTAAAGATTTACCTGGTAGAGGGAACCCCCTGACGCCACGTTCAGCACTTGGCTCCCGCGGCAAATCCCGAGGTACGGAATGGACCGTTCCAGGCACCTCTGATTCTTGACGGGCCTAAAGAATTACCTGGTAGAGGGATCCTCCAGACGCCACGTTGAGCACTTGGCTCCCGCGGCAGATCCCGAGGTACGGAATCGACCGCTCCAGGCACCTCCTTGCGAGCGACAGCTCAATCGAGTCCTTGGCCTTGTCAATCGCCGTGTCGCTGGCGTGCGCGGCGCGGATCTCCGCGACTTCCTCGGGCGACAGGTCAGCAGTGAGCTGGCTGTCGTAGAGCTCCGGGTCGATGTCCTCGCCCTCGCACAGCAGCACGCCGTGGATCGGCTCGAACGCGTCCAGCAGGGACGCCACGCCGGGGACACGTGGCACGATTATGGGGACCGCGCCGTACGCGACGATCAGATCGAGGTGGTATTCGCCTGCGTAGGGAGGGAGGGGGAGACGGTGTGGTGTGGTTTCAGATGAGAAAAGGAGTGGTTTCTCGTCAGGTGTGTTTTGAGTCGACTCAAAACAATTGAGTCGACTCAAAGCACTTGAGTCACTCAAAACTCGTAGAGCTCGGGGTCGATGTCCTCGCACTCGCACAGCAGCACGCCGTGGATCGGCTCGAACGCGTCCAGCAGGGCCGCCACGCCCGGGACACGTGGCACGATTATGGGGACCGCGCCGTACGCGACGATCAAATCCAGGTGGTATTCGCCTGCGGACAGAGGGGTAGATGGTGTGGTTTCAGATGAGAGAAGAGATTGGTTTCAGATGAGAGAAGGATTGGTGTTTTGAGTCGACACAAAAGACTTGAGTCGACTCAAAACACTAGAGTCACTCAAAGCTCGTAGAGCTCGGGGTCGATGTCCTCGCCCTCGCACAGCAGCACGCCGTGGATCGGCTCGAACGCGTCCAGCAGGGCCGCCACGCCCGGGACACGTGGCACGATCACGGGGACCGCGCCGTACGCGACGATCAGATCGAGGTGGTATTCGCCTGCGCACGGAGGGGTGGACGGTGTGGTTTCAGGTGAGAGAAGGATTGGTTTCTCGTCAGGTGTGTTTTGAGTCGACTCAAAACTCACGGGGACCGCGCCGTACGCGACGATAAGATCGAGGTGGTATTCTCCTGCGCACGGAGGGGTAGACGGTAGGATTGGTTTCTCGTCAGCCTGAAGCTTTGGGTGAGTCGGACTTGGCGAATCGTACAAGGCATGGCAGAGAATTTGTTTTCTGGTGAGCGATATTGTTGCTGGTGACTCGAATGAGGTTGTGAGAGAAACGTACATGTCAAGTCCGGAGGGCTTAAGTGTCTCTGAGTCTCAGATTTTCGTTCCTGAACTTCTCAGAACCAAGAAACTAAGCAGGTGTCTGTACTTTCTGCTCAATAGCAGCAGGAACCTCTCTTACTTACGAAATCGACGAACTTGTTCTTGCGAAGCGTCCGTCGCGACACGATCAGGACACGTGGCAGGCCCTCGGACAGCTTCTCCGCGTCCTCTTTCGCCGCGTTGCCCACGTCAGGATCCACGTCATCATCCTTGTCCTCGTCATCTACAGGACGGTTCTCGTAATAATCAGCCATGGTGTCGACTAACGCACAAAAAAACCCTAGTCTTCTATGTCTCCTAGATTAAGGCCAAAAGACCCTTCTTCTCCTCTTATTCTTCAATGAACGGTCTTGCCTGCACTCTGATCGAATCAAGTCCGCTCAGCAAAATTTTGCCTTGCGGTTCCGAGAGCACAAGCAAACGACACTGACGTCAACCGAAAACGAATGGCTTGCCGTCTTCGGTAATATCAACGAAACACACCACACGTTGAGGACTGAAGCCGGTGGTACCTGGTCCTGGTGGCCTATCACCAAGCAGGATTGTTGGTGACTAAAAAAGCTTGGACTGAAGGAAGATATGGCTTGGCAAATGCCACCTTGAATTTGTCTTCAAAGTCCGTTTCTCTATGACCATGGTGGGCTGTGCTGTGCCTTTGGATTGGACTCTTCGAATTCTCAAGGGACAGCGCCGCCTAACGTGACATTGGATCCGACGAAGATGAGGTGGAAAGGTCGCGGCCACGTGGAGTGGATGAGGCACTTCCTCTCAGGGATTCGCCATTACTGCAACCGCTGATCCACGTGGAAGCGTTTCATCTAACGTACGCGCGTGTGGGGCACAGCCAAGCTAAACTCGCCACGGGTGCAAATCCTTGCTATGAAAGAACTCATTTCCACCAGTATGCGAAATATGGAACGATATTATAAGCTTACGAAACAACATACACCCTTTCCCAACTACCATTGCTCGTACACCTGCAGCAGCGCTGGCAGTTTCTAGGGTTTCCCCCGCCACACACCACAACCCTTCATTGATTCCTCAACCCTCCCTCCCCCCCTCTCCTCTCCAGTCTTCCCTCCACTCTTCCATCCTCCCTCACACGCCACCAGCACGAACATAAGCTGCTGCACCACCACGTGTTGGCTCTCTTTCTCCAACCAGCCTTTCTGGTTGGTATAGCTTACCGTTCCAGTGCATCCCTCTCGCCAGAGCGGAGCACCGAACCGCGCGTTGCCAGGTTTCACATTCTCCTCGCGTTTCGCCTCTGTATCTCTGTGCTCTCGTGCGCGTGAGCTTGTTGCAACGCGTCGCGTCGCTTTTCCCGATTGTTCCGTTCCGCGTACGAGGGTTTAACCCGCCATGGGGAAGAAGCTCTTAGCAGAGAACGCGGAAATTCCAATGGGAGGCGCGGCTATTGAAGCGCGAAGTGCGGACGAGAAGCGCGAAGCGAAGAAGGCCAAAAAGGAGAAGAAGGCCGAGAAGAAACGGAAGCAGGAGGAACTAAGAAGCGAAGCCCCCGAGGCAGCTGCGCCGGCTCCCGCGAAAGGCGAGAAGAAAAGCAAGAAGAAGCAGCGCGCCGATGGCGTGTCTTCGCCAGGCGGTTCCCCCGATTCTTCCGCAGCCAGAGCCTCCGCTCCCCCTGCCGCCTCCCCCGCGGCGCCTTCCGCGCCGGTCCACGCGAAGCTCGAGAGCTGGGCTGACGTGGACGTCCGCGTGGAGGGCTTGGAGATCGACGGCGATTCATCCTCCGCGGCGTGCCAACCTCTCCGCCCGCTGGCCACGTTCGCGGAAGCCGCGCCGCAAGTCCCCGCGGATCTGCTCTCCGCGTGCGCGTCCTTCGCGTCCCCCTCCCCCATTCAGCGCTGGGCGTGGCCCGTGCTGCTCCGCGGGCGCGATCTCGTCGCGGTGGCGGCCACGGGCTCGGGGAAGACTCTCGCGTTCGGAGTGCCCGGGCTGAAGCACACGCTGGAAGTGCGCAAGGCGGGCGGAGGCGGAAAGGGGAAGCAGCGTGGGTCCGCGCAGCCGTCGATGCTTGTCGTTGCGCCAACGCGCGAACTCGCCCAACAGGTGGGGGGAACTCTCTGGGCGGGGAATGGAATCTGCGCGAATTTGCGAATTCGCTTTCGCTCTCTTCCCCCCATCCTCCGCTTCCGCTAGCCGTCCCAAACTCCTAGTTTTTCCCCGTTCTGATTCTCGTTTCCCGCCAGATCGCGGAGGTGCTAGAGGCGGCGGGGAAGCGGTGCGGCGTGGGGGTGGTGTGCGTATTCGGCGGCGCGTCGAAAGGCGGTCAGCGGGCCGCTCTCGCGCAATCGCCGGGTGTGGTGGTGGCGACGCCGGGGCGCCTCAAAGACCACATGCAGGACGGCACCATCTCTCTCGCGTCTGCATCCTTCGTGGTGAGGATCGGTACACAGCGGTGTAAAGGTGTGCAAATTGGTTCGGTGCCGCCTGGTTCTTCGCAATGACAGCAGGTGTTGGACGAGAGGCGAATCGCATGCCGAACATGGGCCTCGAACCGGGCATGGAAGGAAAGGAAGCACTCGACCCGACCGAGTGTCGTTTGCTCTCGTGTGTTTGTGTGAACGTGCCTCGCTCGTGCCTCACTCGTGCCTCTCTCGTGCCTCACTCGTGCCTCTCTCGTGGCTTCTCCCACCAATCCCAGGTGCTGGACGAGGCGGATCGCATGCTCGACATGGGCTTCGAGCCCGACATCCGCGGAATCGACTCTCGTAATTTTTTCTCGTAAATATGTGTGGCCCTGCCTCTCACTAACCCAGGTGTTGGACGAGGCGGACCGCATGCTCGACATGGGCTTCGAGCCCGACATCCGCGCCATGGAAGAACGGACTCTGATGTTATGTGCTCACGTGTGTGACCCTGCTTCTTGCTCTCTGGCTCTCTCGTCCTCTCGGCCAGGTGTTGGACGAGGCGGATCGCATGCTCGACATGGGCTTCGAGCCCGACATCCGCGCCATTCTGCAGGCCACGCCGGCCGGTGAGTCAGTCGTCCGTTCACGCTTTACGGGAAAGGAAGAGCTTGGGGGGCGGCAGGGCAGGAATAGGCGCCGTAGAGAAGGAAAAGTTTGGGGGCAGGGGGGAAAGGAGAGGGGGAGTGTTTATGGAGGAAGGGTGGTGCGTGCTGCGAGCATGCACCGTTTACTCAGCTTAGATTATGTCAATAGTCCTCATGCCTCAGGTTTGTGCCACGTGCCCATTCTCCCACCTCCCCCACAATTCCTATGCCCGTTCTTCCGGCTGCTCTTGTGCCACGTGTCAGACCGCCAGACTGCCATGCTGAGTGCCACGTGGCCGCCGGAAATCTCCAAGCTGGCGAGCGATTTCCTCAAGAACCCCATCAAGGTAAGTTCTGTCGCAATTCTTTTGCGCAGCGCATGTGAGTTTTTTTTTTTTGTCATGTTCAAGGGTTTCATCTTCAGCTTTTTCTTGTGCTGACTTGGCGACGCATTGGCTTGGCATGGCTTGGCAGGTGATGGTGGGGCGGAGCACGGGGGGCATGTCAGCCAACGACGATGTGACGCAGATAGTGGAGGTGGTGGAGCCGTGGCAGAAGAACAAGCTGCTCGTGTCGCTGCTCGAGAAATACCACAAGTCCCGGAGGTGAGCAGCACTGCTGAGAGCGGCTAAGAGCGGTTGAGAGTGGTGGTCATAGGTGCAGATAGTTGAGGTGGTGGAGCCGTGGCAGAAGAACAAGCTGCTCGTGTCGCTGCTCGAGAAATACCACAAGTCCAGGAGGTGAGCGGAACTGCTGAGAGCGGCTAAGAGCGGTTGAGAGTGGTGGTCACAGGGGCAGATAGTGGAGGTGGTGGAGCCGTGGCAGAAGAACAAGCTGCTCGTGTCGCTGCTCGAGAAATACCACAAGTCCCGGAGGTGAGCTGAAGTGAGAGATGTTGAGAGGTTTTGAGAGCGGTGGTAACGGGCTGTGAGGGGTTGTGGGGGAAGCAGCTAGTGCTGGTTGCTCTTGCAATGTAACCGCGGAATTATGCGAAGGCAAGGCAAGGTGAGGCGGTCAGAGGGGCAGAGGGTGGAGGTGGTGGAGCCGTGGCAGAAGGACAAGCTGCTCGTGTCGCTGCTCGAGAAGTACCACAAGTCCAGGAGGTGAGCGGAATTGAGAGCGGTTAAAAGCGGTTCTGCGTGGCTGTGCACGGCTGGCATATCACGGGTATGAGAAGGCAAGGTGAGGTGGTCACAGGGTGCGTTTGTGTCATCCATTCACTTCACACATACCTGTCCTCATAAAATCATCCCGCCATGCAATGGGGATGGCAGCAAAGATGCTTTTGAATTTCCCGAGTCTGAAGCTTCCCCTGTTCTTCACTCCTAGTGAAGGCGAGGGGAGGCAGTGCTGCTCGTTTAATGCTCCTGAGCTGCTATTTCTTCACGTCGTATTATCATCCCATCCCATCCCATTACATTAGCCCATCATTGGGGAAGGCAGCAAAGATGCGTCTCAGTTTCCCGAGTCTGAACCTTTCCCCCCTTTCACTCTTGGTGAAGGGTAAAGGAGGCTTTGCTGCTCGTTTAATGCTCCTGAGCTGCCCCCCCATTGAAACCCTTTACCCACACATATAAGCATATGCCTTGGTGGTGGTGTATATGCTGTGTGCATGTGTGCGTGCATGTGCGCATGCATGCACTCATGGGTTTAGAGGAAAGCCCTCCAGCCATCGTGTTTGTGATCTACAGGGCAGAAATGAAACCACCTCTGCTCGTGTGTGGTTGATCTCTGCTCTATACGTTGCCCTCCCTATTCCATTTCTGCTCTATAGAACAGCAAACGAAGCAATCTTTCCTTCCCTCCCTTCGTTGCCTCTCTGGCCCCTCTTTTTCCCTTCGCCTCCCCCTGTCTTCTTGTGCCTCCACCCCCTCCCTCCCCCTATCCCAGCAACCGTATACTCGTGTTTGTGCTGTACAAGGTGGAGGCAGAGCGGATCGAAGCTCTGCTCGCATCGCAGTAAGTTTGTTTTCTACTCTCCTCCCTGCCTGCCTGCCTGCCTGCCTGCCTGCCTGTCTGCCTGCCTGCCTGCTTCCCTCCCTCCCTCCCTCCCTCCCTCCCTCCCCCCCTCCCTCCCTCCCTCACCCCATCCCTTGCAAACCCCATGCACACCTGTACACTCCATCTCACACCCCCATCAACCCCCTCACCTCTTGACAAACCAATCTCAAGAACTGACACAAGCACACTCTTTTCTCCCTCCCTCATGCATCTCTCGCCTCTCACTTCCCTATCCTG